ATATCAAGGTATTTCTGTATATCCATCTTTAGCACAGAGAAGCCTCAGTCAGCTTATAAAAGCTTACCAATCATAATAAAACAAAACTTATGACTCATTTTCAGATGCTCTCATCACACAGGATAGTGGCGTCATATTTCCAGTTTAATTAATAGTTCTTACAATCAGCTGAAGTTTTAGTCATTTATCATTTTTCCTCACAAGACTGCCTTACAGATTGACATACCTTCTGCTTATCTCAGTAAAGTTTCTTGTGAATATATTAGTATATTCTCTTCAGTGACTTTAACCACAGTTTGAAAAGCTATCAAAATATTGGCATCTTTTGGGGCACCTGGATGGCTCAGTCGTTAAGCGTCTGCCTTCGGCTCAGGTCATGATCCCAGGGTCCTGGGATCGAGCCCCGCATCGGGCTCCCTGCTCAGCGGGAGCCTGCTTCTCCCTCTCCCACTCCCCCTGCTTGTGTTCCCTCTCTCACTGTGTCTCTCTCTGTCAAATAAATAAAATCTTAAAAAAAAAAATATTGGCATCTTTTATTTAAAAATTTGGCTTATTTTGTAACTTTTTCTTAAGAAGTTAAACCCATTCTAGATAATTGTAAGTTATTTTTAGTTATGTATTTCCTCTATATCATTAGTTTGTATGTTTTTAAGATTTATTTATTTATTTGAGAGAGAGAGGGCGTGCACGTGAGACAGCGTGCATGATTGGGGGAGGGCAGAGGGAGTGGGAGAGAGAGAATCTCAAGCAGACTTCCCTATGAGCATGGGGCCCAACATAGGGCTTGATCCCAAGACGCATGAGATCATGACCTGAGTCAAGATCATGAGTTGGATGCTTAACCGATTGAGACACCCAGGTGCCCCATAAGTTTGTATTTTTATTTAAGGTGTTGCATTAAACAAATTATTTTTGTTTGATTTTACATGTTGGAAGAAAGAGGAGCACTGTTTATCATTATTACAAAGAGATATTTGAAGACAAAATAATGCCTTAAGTAACTTGGGGTACATATATTCATTATCTGGCCTTTCAGGACTAAGTCTAAAATAATGCCAGAATGAAATATTTTGCAGGGAATCTGAATGTTTAGTATCAAAAATAACCTCCGATTTGTTTCCCCAGGAAATACACAAAAGCTTTAAGAACACATATTTGCTTAATTACCTGGATTGGGGTTTAATTCTTTGATTTTAGTCTTCTTTCCTATCTTGGGTTAGAGTTATAGAAGTGATAGCATTTAGACTTTAACCCTAATTTTAGATAGCTTATCAGTTATTCCCTCTCTCCCTCAGCATTTTCTATTTACTGTCTTCCTACCTTAAATATCTGGTCTTCCAGGTAGTCTAGCTTCATTAGTGTGGTTTGACATCAAGTTATGTTAAAACCTGCATTTTTTATCTTTCTTACTTATTGTTCTTACCTAACCTTTCCTGAAAAAGTTACTTGCTAAGTTCACTGGCCAAAGTTTCTAGTAGACCTGATTGTTCATTTGTAATTTCTTTGTGTTACTCCTATTTCAACCAGATTCTGCATTCTTGTTATGTTTGACCCTGTCAAATTAATGTTCTAATGAGAAGGTCTGCAGTGAAGAATAGAGACTTAGTAATACTCATTTTGAGGAGGATGGGTATTCCTTATTACTGGATGGGACTGGATGCCTTGGTTAGCATGCTCAATAATTACTATTAACAATATTACCTAACCTCCTTTTAAGGATTTTTTATAACAGCTTTGTTGAGGTAAAATTCACATGTATTGAAATTAATTCATATATACCATAAAATTCACCTCTTTAAAATATACATTTCAGGGCGCCTGGGTGGCTCAGTCGTTAAGCGTCTGCCTTTGGCTCAGGTCATGGTCCCAGGGTCCTGGGATCGAGTCCCACATCGGGCTCCCTGCTCAGCAGGAGGCCTGCTTCTCCCTCTCCCACTCCCCCTGCTTGTGTTCCTGCTCTCGCTCTCTGTCAAATAAATAAATAAAATCTTTAAAAAAATAAAATAAAATAGACATTTCGGTGGTTTTTATTGTAGTCACAAAGCTGGACATCTGTCATCACTATCTAGTTTTGGAACATTTCATCACCAAGAGAAACCCCAAACCCATTACCAGTAACACCTTATTTCTCCCTTTCCCCAATACCATGGTAACTACTAATCTACTTTCTGCCTCTATTGATTTTCCTAGTCTGGACATTTCATATAAATGGGATCATATAAGATATGCTTTTTGTGTATTTTACATAGTACAGTGTCTTCAAGACTCATCTATTAAGTATGTTATCAGTACTTCATTCCTTTTTATTGCTGAACAACAGCCTACTGTATGAATATACCATATTTTGTTTATTCATCAGTTGATGGATATTTGGGCTGTTTCCACTTTTTGGCATTTATGAATAATGCTGCTATGAACATTTGTGTACAAGGTTTTATGTGCACATACATTTTTAATTTTCTTGGGTATATATCTAGGAGTGCAGTTGCTGGGTTGTAACTCTATATTTAACCTATTCAGGAATTGCCCAACTGTTTCTATTAGGAATTTAAAACCTAATTCTATAGACAAAAGTTTGGCAACCTAGCATGACTTTATCTCTACTTAGTCTCTCCTTTGTGAAAAGTGGTAATGATTGTATTCAAGAAGATCCTTTATTACACTTAATTTTTTATATCTTAAAACAAATACCTTTTATTAAACAAAGAGTGTTTTTATGCATTGATAGGAAAAATTGGCTTGGCAGATCTCTTAATAGTAATTCTTATGTATTACTAGACTTGGGGAGTTGAAATGGAAAGGTGTAAAAATATGGCTTGTAAACTTATTCTGGTTTGCCAGGTAATTTTCAAGCCTTTGGATATATATAATAATTAGGACTTAGGTGGTCTCTGTATAGATTGGTAATGGAAGGATTAGAGAGAACATCAATGACAGTTTATTTTCTACCATTTTAGATTTTGGCTTATGATTTATTTTGTCTAATGGGTCTAAATAGACTTGCAATGTACAGTTAAAAATTGCTTTCTGAGTTTTTTAAAGAGGAACTGGAGCTGGTAGTGAGCAATGTGGTCTCAAGTATCCCACTCGTAGTATGACACCAAATCTTAGGGTATACACAAAAGAGGATTAAAATGCTCTTTAAGAACAAAAATTTGGCAGTAATTGAGTATACAGATAAAGGTAATTTGGTGTCTGCCAATTCAGCTAATCTGAGGCAGCTAATTAATATTTTTCCTAAATTCCTCATCTATTAATAAACCCTACATGCTTATCTCAATTTTTCCATACTTAAAGACATGCTCTATGGTAGGTGCTACATAGGGTGCTTTACATGCATGGTTTAATAAATGCATTTCTTCTGTCTTTACTCCTTGACATAATTAATGTAATTTATTTATCACATTAAAAAATAATTATTACATAAATACTGTTTATTTATAGTATTTATTTTGTTACGCCCACCAAGTTTGTTCTTTTCCTTCATTCAAAGGGCTTCTTAAATCTTTTCATTTTTAATTGAAAAGACATTGTAATTAAAGGAAAAAAACTTAAGTTACCTATATCCTATATTAAAACAGCTTTTTGTCTTCATTGGCAGTGGGACTAGAAAGTAAGGGGCCAGGTTTGGGAGTTGTTTACTAAGGTACACTCACCAGAACTTGAAATGGATTAGGTGTGAGAGGAAGCAAGTAGGATAAGGGGGAAAAGGCTCAAACTACTAGGAGGTCTGAAGCCTGAATGGGTAAGGAGGGCAGAGGTGCTGTGGAAAGAAAAAGAGACGTAGAATCATTTGAAAAATCAGGTAGGTTTCTTTTTATCTAGTTAGGTTTAAATTGCTGTTGGGCATGTTAGGTAAGCTGTTTGAATATGGACTGAACTGAAAAGTCAGGACTAGAAATAGAGATTTTGGAATCTTCATAAATGTACTCGGTTAAAGTCACAATAGGGAGGGGATAAACTTGCTAAAAGATGAAATCTGAGGAGAGAACAGTTCCAGAGAAAACACAACAGTTAGGGGTTGGGAAGCAGAGGAGGCAGAAAGGACTAATTAGCAGGGTAAGAGGAGAATCAAGGGACTGTTGTTTCATGGAATCTAAGAAAGGAATTTAAAAAGGGGAGGATCATCTGTATTAAATACTTTATAGGAATTGAGGCTTTGAGATTTTGATGCCGTTTGAAGATTACTGGTGACTTCATAAAAGTAGTTTCAGTAGAAGTAGTAAAGATAAGATTGAAATTTTTAAGGGGTTCGGGAGTTAATGACACCAGTAAGTGCAGATTTCTCTTTAAAACTGGTCTGTTGACCACAACTTTGTGGCAGTCTGGCTGAGCAAAAAATAATTAATTTCCATATAGTGGTAAATACGTATTGAACTCTTAAACTGCTAAAGTGACTCTTCCTGTGCTATATTTGTTTTTGCAAAGATGAATAGGAATTCTGCAACCATGCTATTAATTTGGGGGTCTTCTTTAATTTTTTAGTTGGACAGTTGATGTTATTGTGGCTAAATGTGTTAAAGCTGGAACTCTGTATTCTCAATTTTACTGTACGTTTATACTATTTGTTGTGGAATAATGAGATTGGTGATAGATTGCTTTGGAATACTTTGAGAGTCTGGGCTTGGTAGAGTATTCCCCCGTGTAAACGAAAGGGTAACAGGGACTGTTATGACAGTGTTTTCTTAAATCAGGACACATCACCAGATCATGGGTGGCATGGTCAGGAGCCGTAGGTTTACCCAAATTTTGGAATTTCTATTTTTTTTTTTTATTACTCATTTGACAGAGAGAGACACAGCAAGAGAGGGAACACAAGCAGGGGGAGTGGGAGAGGGAGAAGCAGGCTTCCCACTGAGCAGGGAGCCCAATGCGGGGCTCAATCCCAGGACCCTGGGATCGTGACCTGAGCCGAAGGCAGATGCTTAACGACTGAGCCACCCAGGCGCCCCTAAAGATTTTTTTTATTTTATTTTATTTATTTTTTATTCATTTGACAGAGAGAGACACCCAAATTTTGGAATTTCTGAGCAATTTGCTGTGGAGGCAGTGGGACAAAATATTCGAATTTGAATTAACCTGCAAAACGTGGAACCAGTTATTTCATGAGTTAAATGGCTAGAGGAGCATTAGATAAAGGATGATGAAGAAGGAATGAACGAAAAGGTGAGAACCTGTGTGTAGAAACAAAATAATCAAACCTAGGAACACTTTTTTTTTTTTTTTTGCCATTTGTTGTATTAAATATCTTCATTTCAGTAAAATTAATACATATAACAAAACAATTTTAGTGTCCTCTTAATTCAAATGGAATTCTACTTTATTTCCATAAGAATGTAACTTGCAGGTAGACAGAGGATAAACTTGCATTACATCTTCTTAACTTACTTTGATCTTGAGAAAGCACTGTATTTTCTTTTGCGACCCAAGAACAGGAACCTTTCCTTTAAGGAAAGTATTGCTTGTTGTCTAGGCTGTGCAAAAAACAAAAACAACAATAACAAAAAAAACGACTATAGGCTTGTGAAATTTTTATAACTTTCTTTTCCTTTTAGTTTTTATGCTTTGCTGTATTTATTATTTTTAAATATAAAGTCTATAGTACAGTTTTATTCTAAAACAAGTTCTCAAGGGGCACCTAGGTGGCTCAGTCCCTTAAGCATCTGACTCTTGATTTCCACTCAGGTCATGATTGTATGGAGAGGGCAGATCAAGCCCTGTGTTGCCTTCTGTGCACAGCACGGAGTCTGCTTAAGTTTCTCTCCCTCTTCCCCACCGCGGTCGCACGTTCTCACGCACGCGCTCTCTCTCAAAAAAATGAATAAATCTTTAAAAAACAAAAACAAAGACAAGTTCTCAAAATTAAGGTCTATTGCTACCCCTTCAAGGAGAATTTAAAAAGCTGCTACGTTGAAGAGATCTCCTTTACTAGTAGTTGATGGAACTAGAAATTGAACCCCAGTTCCTCTGACTCAAACCTGTCCCATTGTGAAGTACTAATAAAGTGTAAGAGGGCAGAGAAATTTGTTTCCTAAGTATACTGGTCAATTCTAATTTGTATTAATTTTCTCTGAACATTACCACCAGAGAAGGCCTAAAGAGTGTATTTACTCACTACTGTTTGTCCTGGATTATGCTGGTAGTAGCTGGTATTAATAGAAAGAAGACATGGTCTGCATTTTTAGGGAATTCATGTTCTCATGGTATATATGCATATATAAGTTAACATTGGGATATGTCCTAGATGAGAGGTAAATATAAAGGACTGTGGGTAGAGATGAGGAAGCACTTTGGGAGGAAGTGGAAGATGGGGTTTGGTACCAGGACTAGTCTCAGGAAATGTTTTAGTGAGAGGATTTCTGTAGTGAGCTAGAAGAAAGTGAGGAGTTTGTTTGGTGTATACTATTAGGAAAATAAGCATTAAAATCAGCTTGAATAAAGAATAAAATCTTTTTGTTACCCAAAGACCCATATGATCAGCCCCTACTTCAAAATATGTCCTTTTACTATCAGTCCTGACTTAGCTTCAAATAAGAAGGCACAGCTTGCTCTCTGAAGAAGAATGGCAGATAAATTAATCTGTTATATAGCAGTAGGTAAAGCGTGAGCAAAGATAGGAAGATGCATTTTGAAAGGCAGAGTTGCATGTTTTGCAGTTAAAGGTAGACATTACAGTTGTATAGTTTAAAGACCCTTTGGTTGTTTTGGTTGCTTACAATGGGTATTAGGGATATGCATATTTTTATATAAATAGGTTTGTAAAGATTTAAGAAAAGCTGGTTAGAGATAGTATACTTTTGGTGGAAATTACACTATGATTTTACTACTTGTTGCTGTTACTTTGTATTTGGGGTTTTAAAAAAGCTATTTTGTCTTAATGATCATATAACTTATATGGTAAGTATTAGTAATATTACAATTGAGTGGCTTTTGTGATAGACTACAGTTACATATTTCAGGTATAAAACCGGATGAATCTATTCATTTAATAGTTATTACTAAGTGCCACCTGTGTGCCAACCCCCCTCCCTTTTAAAATTCAGATGGATTCGGGCGCCTAGGTAGCTCAGTCGGTTAAGTGTCCGACTCTTGATTTCAGCTCAGGTCATGATCTCAGAGTTCTCGGGGTTGTGAGAATCTCACGAGCCCCGCACTTAGTGGAGAGTCTGCTTGAGATTCTCTCTCCCTCACCTCTCACCGCCCCCCCCCCCCGCCCCCACACACACACGTGGTCGTTCTCACTTGCTCTCTCTCAAAAAAATTAAAAAAATAGGGACACCTGGGTGGCTCAGTTGGTTAAGTGTCCACCTTCGGCTCAGGCCATGATCCCAGGGTCCTGGGGTCAAGTCCCACCTCGGGCTCCTTGCTCAGTGGGGAGTCTGCCGCTCCCTGCTTGTGCTCTCTCTGTCTCTCTGACAAATAGATAAATAAAATCTTTTTAAAAAATTGAAAAAATAAGATAAAATTCAGATGGATTCTCTAGTAATTGCCTCAGAAATTTTTCAGAGCAGTGGCAAAAGCATTACTATTTTATGGGTTAGGTATTCTTATATTTTGGTACAGTATAACCTTTAAGCATGAAGTATAATTTCATTTTTATTTCACTTTAAAGTACAGTTTTCAGATTTGTATATTCTTGTGTGCATATTTACTGAAAGTACTATCTTATGAAACTCATATTGTTTTTTAAATATGTTGACATTGAGGAATTTGGGGCAGTAGCATGTGGCCTGGTAACAGCGTAAGAAGTCTTGAGCTTCAATATTTATTTATGTTCCATCTTATTCCAAAAAGAATTTGAGTTAGCTAAATTTCCATTTTAGCTCTATTACTTTTTGTGTCCATTGTTTTCTTAGTTGTTCTGATTTAAAATCCAGCCAATTAAGCTTATCTCAACGTATTCTGAATTCTAAGTGTTCAGTGATACGAAGAGAATTAGATATATTTTAGAAGTGGAGCTAACACAACTTGCTGATGCATTGGATGTTGTAGGGGAGGTAAAGGAAGGAATCAAGGATGATTCCTAGCTTTTAGACTTGAGCAACTGTTGAATGGTAGTGCTATTTGGACATGTTTGTGATGTCCATGAGACACCCAGTGGACAATACAGTAGACACCTATTTGGAGAGATTCAACAAACATCACACAACACATTATTATTAGCTTAGAGCCTTAGATAAATAATGAAACTGTTCTACCTTGTTAAAGAACTCAAATCTTAACACATAAATGGATACCTTAAATGAGGATAGTTACATTGCACGTGACTTAGAAGCTTTTGAGAATCAGTTTATTGATTTAAGATTAAGGGAATAAAACTTTTGTGTTTTAAGAAATAAAGAAAAAGGGGTACCTGAGTGGCTCAGTTGGTTAAGCGTCTGCCTTTAGCTCAGGTCATGATCCCAGGGTCCTGGGATCAAGCCCCACTTTGAGCCTTACATCAGGCTCCCTGCTCAGCGGGGAGCCTGCTTCTCCCTCTCTCTCTGCCTGCCGTTCCCCTGCTTGTGCTCTCTCTCCCTGTCAAATAAACAAAATCTTTAAAAAAAAGAAAAATAATTTGGAACTTTAAAACAAAGTGAATATTAAGCTTCATTTTTGTTTGCATCAAAAATTCTAATGTGTTAGAGACATCTGTATGACTTGTTTAAGAAAGCTCAATAAGTAAATGAATTCACCCATTTTTAATGTGATTTGCATTAGATCTTGGTCTATAAAGTCCAAGAAGATAGTCTAGTCTGTGCCTTCAGTTTTATAGTTTAGTGGATGAGACCGGAAAGATTGAAATCTCACAAGTGGTAATAGAGCAATGTATTATTGACTCTTCACGGTGCTGGGGGCTGAGGAGCTGTTAAGGGAAAGGTCAAGAAAGCTTTCACAAAGGAAATAACACTTTAGCCAGAGTCCTACTGTTAACTCACCAGCAAGGGTAAAAATTGTCAAACTATGATGTTGAGGGGCGGAGGGTTGCTCGTGGTGGTGGTGTGGCTGAAGCATCAAATTCTTAAGTAAGAGAATGTTACAAAAAGAAGCTAGGAAATTGGACAGACAGCATTCAAAATGTTATAATTAAACAAGGAATTGGTAGTTTAACTTGGAGGTGATGGACCCACGAGAGGATTTTTAAGGGAGGGACTAAAAATGATCAGATTTACCTTTTCGGACAGTAACTCTGAGATAAGAAATATTTAAAAGAATTTATTATGTGACTTTTTCAAGATGTTTAAGGGTAGACAGTTGCAAATCTTAAAGTCTTTTTGTTTTGTTTGTTTGCATAGTTAAAAAAAATCCATATATGATATAGGGTATGGTATCTATAAGCTTATGTAAATACACCACTTAGCTACAATTTGCCGAGTTAGGATAGTAAATGATTCAAAGTACTTTCTTGCTTAGGATTATATTAAATAATTATGTTAAACTTAATAAATGAATTATTTTTTTTAAAGATTTTATTTATTTGAAGAGACAGACAAAGCCAGAGAGGGAACACAAGCAGGGGGAGTGGGAGAAAGAGAAGCAGGCTTCCCGCCAAGCAGGGAGCCCAGTGTGGGCTCGATCCTAGGACCCTGAGATCATGACCTAAGCCGAAGGCAAACTTTTAACGACTGAGCCACCCAGGCACCCCAATAAATGAATTATTTTATTGGTGTTTTAGTTCGGTGCTATTTTCACACACACTGTCACATGCAGTATATTTATGAATAAGATTCCTTAGTATTTTATGTTTCTCAATTAATTAATTTCCTAGTAATTAATTTCACCTAGAGACAATGAAATTGGTGGCCAGGAAGTTAAAATGAAATTACATGTGTAGATACTTCCATTTCATATAGTTAAATGAGCTTTGGTGCTACCCCTACTTCAAGCACTATTTGGACATTAATTTTGATGTATTAAAAGAATAAAATCTTTTGCTTAGGCCAGCATTCAAATCTTATTCTAAGATTAATGTATTTAACATACAAGCATTTAATATGTTCTGGGGTACAGAACATTACAAATATTAATCTGATCATAATCTTATACTCACAGAGCTTACAGTTGAGCCGGGGAAATAAGATGTATACTCCTTATGTATTTATCATAAAGAGAAGTAAATGGTGTTTTAAGAGTGCATATAAAATCTAAAAAGAATTCAGAAGGGAAAGATTATTTTTGCATGAGAGGGATAAGAAACTTTGAAGGACCTAGGACTTAAAAGATGGGTAAGATTTGGAGGCTTATTTACTGAGTGTGGGTATTATCCTCATATTACAGAAGATGAGACAGGTTAAATATATTCATTGTCATACAGCTAGAAAGTGGCAGATCCAGAATTTTAATTGAAACAACTAACTGTAAAGCTGACCCTATTTTGTTTTGTTAGGAAATATGGCCTTACTTGGTATCTTTTTAAAACATTTGGGTAGAATTTTTTGATGTCAATTTTTTAAGTACAAAGTTTTCATGTTTAATGGACCACCTTTGTTTTATTTATACTACACCAGAGATGAGTATTGCCAATGGATATGAAACTTTAAGTACACTACTTATGTAGACTTATTTAATAGAACATTGGAAGCTTGAAGTAGAAAGCGTACCATGCATGCTGTGCTGGGCTTTAAGAAAACTGGATATATAAAAATTCAAACTCAAATGAGATGTTTATTTGTACACAAAAGTGTTCTTATGTTTTATTATATGAAAAATGCAGTCATTTCACATAAGAACTTTATTTTGCCCATTTCTCAATAACATAATTTGTCATGTAAAAAAAGAAATGATTGGAGTGATTGCAGGTATTCCAGAAGTGCATTAACATTTTATAATTAAATTCATCCCCTCTTCCCTTTTCTTTGTAGTTATATACATTTTTTTCAGTGATTGTTACCTAATTCCTTTTCCCCCTGTGTTTCTGCAAGTGTTTAGATTGATAACCTTCTGTAAGTCACAGTCACATACAGTATTTTGTAATGCATTAAGATACTATAAATAACTGAAAATTAAAATCTTTGAGCAAAAAAATACAGAGATTCTAATTAAATATGTAAGATGTATATGTGTATAACTGGGAGGGTCTTTGTTAACATGGATGAAGAAAATCATGAGCAATCTTTTCTATTCCCTTTAATTTTTTTAGCATTTAATTTTCTAAAATCTTTTTAAGTTTTTATTTTATTTAAGTAATCTCTACAACCAACGTGGGGCTCAAACTCATGACCCTGAGATCAAGAGCTGCATTCCTCCAACTAAGACAGCCAGGTGCCCCTTTAGCATTTAAATTTTTGAATAGGCAATACATTCATATAATCTCTAATAAGTATGAAATGATATATAGTAATGTTTCTTTCCCATCCATTTCCTATAGCTATTCATTTCTCTTCTCCACCAATAACAACAACCTTGTTCAGTTTCTCTCCCAGAGATATTTTATGCACATGTACAAGAAAATGCAAATATATTTTTATTCTTAACACCATCGGTAGTGTATTACATACACTGTTGTGTTCCCTGCTTTTTACACTTAATATGTATTTTGAGGCATTTCCATATCCCTATATGAAGAGCTTCCTTGTTTTCAGTTATATCATATTTAATTGTATGAATGAAACAAATTTAGCCAATCCTGTATTAATAGACTTTTATTTGCAGTCCTTTGCTGTTTTAAATAATGCTACAGTAACTAACTTTGTGCATAATATGTCATTTCACATGTGCCGTTTAGAGGACAAATTTTTAGAAGTACACTTGCTGGGTTAAGGGGTTATGTGTATTTGTAATTGCCAAATTACCCTCCTTAGGGCTTGTGTTAATGTTCTCTTCTACCAGCATTGTATTGAAGTTTTGGTTTTCTCACACCCTCACCAACATTCCATTTACTCTTAAATACAATTTTTTCCCCTAATCTACTTTTGAGAACCTTATTACCATAGAAAATAGCCTCATAAATGTGGATAATTTAATTTCGGCATTGTGATAAGGCAGAAAAATGTGTATTCCTGTTTTAGGTCTCTAATACTGTCATTATAAAGTTTAGTAGTTTTTCAAAGAAAACAAAAGATTCACTATTCTGTGTTAAATTGTCTACTTATAAGATTATTTCAAATGCTGTATATTGAAGTATATCATAACAAGAATATGTTAAGAATCTTAAATAAGTTCTGTGATTTAAAAAAAAAAATGTTTTGTTGCTTAAACCTCAGCATCACAAGTAGCAAAAGTAAAATGGTAAAAAAGTTAAATGTTACCAGACTTTTTGTTCATTTCATTTGTAGTCAATAATTCATTGAATAGTAAAACCAGAATGCCTTCAATATGTCTTTAAGCTTGGAAGAAAGTAGGCTTCTTTGAAATTAAATTTCAGCAATGTAGTTGAGTAGTGAATTTAAACAATTCACAATGCTGACTTTCAGTGCTTCTGAAAGCAGGAAGTGTATTACTGACACGCAGAAATATTCCAGCCCAAAGAACATCCCTACTGCCATATGTGGTAAGAATTTGTCACTAACTCACAAACCACTTCTGTAATGCAGTGAATAAGCAGAATTGGTCTTTGTTGGACATTTCCAATTCAATATGAAAGAACTTTGTTTTGCAGTGTCTTATAAGTAATTATTAGCTTATGCCTTGGAAGGAGCCTGGCACATCATGGGTGCCCAAGGTTTATTGAGAGAAGGAATAAAGAAACTTGTACATAATCTTTTAGGCATGATTTACTTGGTTTTAGGGACCCATAGTTAAACACAAAATGTTGAATAAGTTAAGGACTGAGTTAAATATTCTGACTCAACTTATTAATGATTTCTTTAAATAAAATTGCTTACTTTTATTTTAGTGTCCCCTTTCAATGCTATTTGGAAAATTAATCTTATGTTTGCACTTATGGTTAAAAAAAATTATCCTTGGGGTTAATTATTAAGGGATAGGGAGATACTGTGAGCCTAGAAAACCAGGAAAATGAGCTGTAAGGAATTGGGGTTAGCAGAATTCAATACAGAGCTATTTATAAATCATTAAAATTTTGAAAATATTAATGTTTTTATAAACTTGAATTTTTTTGTTTATATTTTAAGCGATTAAGAAGATTGTCTACCAAATATAGAACAGAAAAGATTTATCCCACAGCCACTGGAGAAAAAGAAGAAAATGTTAAAAAGAACAGATATAAGGACATACTGCCATGTAAGTTTGAAATGCCCTCATAGAATGATTAGAAAATGTTAATTAGCGGCTTGTAGCCTAAACTAGTTTTATTCTTCCTAATGCGTTTGATTGTAAAGGAGTTACTAATTAACTTCCCTTTACAGTACTCTATAATTCGTAATTGTGCTTCTTGTTTTTCCTTCTGAAAGTACTTTTTGTTTTTTACTTTTTTCTTTAAGCATCACAATTACTCTGATACTTACTTTTAAATACAAAAAAAATCCAAGTAAGAATGTCTTTTGTGCACTCCCTGTTCAAAGAAGGTATTTTGTTAAAATAAAATAGATAATTCAGTAAATATAATGGAATAAATTTTATAAAATGCTAAAAATACTAGCTCTTATCTATTCACAATTAGAACCTTGATTGATTAATTATGCATGAAAACATGAACCATAAGGGGATTCATGCCTGCATATCTGCTTTCTCAGTAGGCTCAGTATGTGTCTCTGAAGAGTATACCTTAGACTGACAGCATTATATTATAATAATATAATTATATTCTTAAAAAGCATGGTTTTTGGCAAAATACCTTTAACTCTAAAAGCATGCATACTTAAGTGTGTTCCTATTTTACACAAAAACTTTACATCGTACATGCTATCTCTTAAAGCTGCTAATAGTCTTTTTCTTTGGGCGCCTGGGTGGTTCAGTTGGTTAAGCGACTGCCTTCGGCTCAGGTCATGATCCTGGAGTCCCTGGATCGAGTCCCGCATCGGGCTCTCTGCTCGGCAGGGAGTCTGCTTCTCTCTCTGACCCTACCCCTCTCATGTGCTCTCTCTCATTCTCTCTCTCTCAAATAAATAAATAAAACTTAAAAAAAAAAAAAAGTCTTTTTCTTTTCCTTCAACTGTCTTGAAATAGCTACATTCCATGGCACCATTCCCTCAACTCTCACTTGTTGTTTTCCCCAGCCTTAAGTTAAGTTATAATTGACAAATCTCATTAATTTTTAAAGGTTGTTCTCTCTAAAATGTCTTTGATAAAGTTTTCAGTGACTTTATTTGTGCCAGATTTAGTAGTCTTTTTTCAGTGCTTACTCCTCTATCTGTTAACCATTTTGATGCCATTGACTAGTCTCTATTTCTGAAATTTTCTTCTTCCATAAAATCCTTCTTTCAGATTGGCTTATCCCTCTCTTTCTCATTGTCTTCTTTGCATAAATTTAATCCTCCAGCTTTTTCTTGTTGTTGTTCAACTGTATTCTCAGCTGTGGGATCAGTGGGTGTCCAGTATTAGCAGAATTACTAAGTGGCAAGTGTACATAGTATAATGGTGAAGAGTTTTGGCTCTGGAAGTTCAAATCCTAGCTCTACCACCTGCTATTTATATGACTTTAAACTCATCCTTTCTGTGCCTTTTTTCCTCATCTATAAAATGGAGATTAAAGTAATAATACTCTTTATGATTATTTTGAGCATTAGATAGGTTAGTGCATCTTAAAAAGCTTAGAATTATACCTAGCACATTGAAACTAAACATTCAGCTTTTGGAAAATACAGTCCACTTTCTTACCAATCCCCCTCAGAATGGTGGATGGTGTGGGTTTCTGGACAGTTTTTATTAAGTAAGATAATCTCAGCATACTCTTAATGTACTCTGGAATTAATGCATATACTTTTAAAGAGATAATTTCTCTAATTTCTTTTTCTATCATCTGGGGAAATGAATCTTAAACAGCTCCAGCTTTCTGTTTTCATATGTTGTGTTTTATTCATTCATTTTACAAGAAGCTTTGAGCAAATACTGTATGCTGGAGATGCAGCAGCAAACAAACTCAAAAATCCCTGCCTTTATGGAGTTTATATTCTAGTGAAGGGGGAATAGACAGTAAATACAAATAACATATATGGTCTCTCAGATGGTGGTTAGTGGTATTGAGGATAATACAGTGGGCATGAGGTACATAGAGACAGCTGAGACTAGAAGGGGGGGAAACTTTACAATTTTAAATAGAGACAGAGGGAGACATTAAGTGGTGTGCTATAAAATTGGCCCTCTAATAAATAAAAACCTTAATTTGTGTTGTTTGTCAATTTCTGTGGTAAATGGACTATTTGCCATAATCAACACAACGAAACTTTGTGGTAGGTACTAGTATATGCCATTTTGCAGATGGGAAACTGAGACAGAAATTAAATAGCTTGTCACATAGCTAATAGAATTGATGAAAATTTAAACTCAGGTGATTTTTGTCCAGAGCACTAGTTCTCAACTAGGGTGATTTTGCCCCTAGAAGAGACAGTTAGCCAATGTCTGGAGACATTTTGGTTGTCACAACTGGGATATGGAATGGCACGCTGCTACTGGCATCTAGTGGGTAGAGGCTAAGGATGCTGCTGCATCCTATAATACAGAGGCTACAGCCTCCCCACAAACAAAGAATTAACACAAGGCCAAAATGTCAGTAGTGCTCAGGTTGAGAAGCCTTGCCCTAGATCCTGAGCTCTTAATCATTGTGCTATAGTCAGACTGGCAGTGTCTTTTTTCCTTTTAAGTTATTTAAGGTTTGATAAGTCAGTTTCCAATAAATTTCTAGTCATTTTAATTTGGAAAATTATATTAAAAGCAATTGGATTTAGAGATGTATATTTACTTACTGTCATAAAAATAATATAAGTTGTCAGTTTCCTTTGCATGTTTAGCATGTCCAGTGCTTCCAGACACAGTATTTTTTTAAACAGCTTGATTGAGGTATAATTTACATACCAGGTATAATTTAAATATACAATTCAATAATTTTTAGTAAATTTATATAGAGTTGTGCAGCCATTGATACAATACAGTTTTAGAGCATTTCTATCAACCCTCAAATGATCGTTTATGCCAGTTTGCAGTCCTTAGCCCCAGGCAACCACTAATGCTTTCTGTCTCTAGATTTGCCTATTCTGGAAATTTCATGTAAATGTAAGTATACAATATGTAGTCTTTTATGTCTGGATTTTTTCATGAAGCATGTTTTTGAGGTTCATCCATGTTGTAGCATCTATCAGTAGTTCATTCCTTTTTATTGTTCAATAATATTGCATTGTATGGATATATCACATTTTGTTTATCCATTCACCAGTTGATGAACATTATGAATAATGCTACTATGAACATTTCCATACAAATCTTTATGTGGACATACGGCTCTCTTTCTCTTGGGTAGATAACCCAGGAATGGAATTTCTGGATCTACGGTACCTTATGTTTAACTTTTTAAGAAACTGCTAAACTGTTTGTTAAAGTAGCTTTGTACCATTTTACTTTCCCACCACCAATATATGGGGGCTCGTTTCTCCACATTCCTTTTTACTGTCAGTCTTTTTGAGTATAGTTATTCTAGTGGGTGTGTAGAGGTATCTCTTTGTGGTTCTAATGTGCGTTTCCCTAATGACTAATGTTGAGCATCTTTTCATGTTCTTTTAGCCACTTGTATATCTTCTTTGGTGAAAAGTCTCTTCAAATTCTTTGTACTTCCATTAGATTTTTTTTTTTTTTTAATTCTATTGAGTTGTGGGGTGCCTGGGTGGCTCAGTCGGTTAAGCATCTAGCCCTGCATTAATCTAGCCCTGCATTGGGCTCCCTGCTCGGCAGGGAGCCTGCTTCTCCTTCTCCTCCCTGCTTGTGTTCTCTGTCTCTCTGTCTCTCTCTCAAATAAATAAATAAAATCTTTTAAAAAAATAATTCTATTGAGTTGTTAAAGTTCTTTTTTTTTTTAAAGATACTATTTATTTATTTGATGAGAGAGACAGCGAGAGAGGGAACACAGCAGGGGGAGTGGGAGAGGGAGAAGCAGGCCTCCTGCCGAACAGGGAGCCCGATGTGGGGCTCGATCCCAGGACCCTGGGACCATGACCTGAGCCGAAGGCAGACGCTTAATGACTGAGCCACCCAGGCGCCCCGAGTTGTTAAAGTTCTTTGGCTGTCCTAGATACAAGTCCTTCTTTACATACATGGTTTGCAGATTTTTTCCTCCCAGTTAATGGCTTGTATTTTTATTTTCTTAAGGTTTCTTTTCGTTTTCTTAAGGTGTCTTTTAAAGTGTGCAAGCTTTTTTAATTTTGATGGAGTCCAATTTATCAGTTTTATGGATCATGCCTTTGATAGTCTGTCCATGAACTCTGCCTAATTCAAGATCACAAAGATTTTCTGTTTTCTTATTTTTCTTCTGGAAGTATTGTAGCTTTAGCTTTTACATTTAGGTCTATAATCCATTTTCAGTTAATTGTCTGAAATAACCTGTATGTAGGATTGTTCTAATACCATTTGTTGAAAAGACTGTCCTTTCTCCACTGAATTGCCTTGGTACCCCTGTTGGAAATCATTGGACCATAAATGTAAGGTTTTTTTTTTTCTGGACCCTTAATTCTACTACACTGTTGTATTCTTAAGCCAGTATCATACTGTCTTCATTATGGTAGCTTTGTAGTAAGTTTTAAAAGCAAGAAGTATTAAGGCCTCCAACTGTGTTCTTATTTTTTAAAATTTATTTGGTTCTTTTTGTTCCTTTGCATTTACATATAAATTGTGGGATCAATTTGTCAATATCTGCAAAAAACCCTTAATGGATTTTGTAAGGATTGCATTGAATCTGTGGATCAGTTTGGGGAGAATTGCCATCTTAGACCATATTGATTCTTCCAATCTATGAACATGAATTGTCTCTCTCCATTTATTTAGATCTTTAATTTCTCTCAGTAGTGTTATTTGGTTTTTAGTGTACAAGTCTTGTGTTTATTTTTTTAAATTCTTTATCTGAATGAAAAATTTTTTTAAGATTTTATTTATTGTGAGAAAGAGAGAGCAAGCACGCACACCTGGGGGAGAGGCAGAGGGAGAGGGAGAAGCAGGCTCCCTGCTGAGCAGGGAGTCCGATGCAGGGCTTGATCCCAGGACCCTGAGATCATGACCTGAGTCGAAGGCAGGCGCCCCTGAATGAAATTATTTTATTCTCAAATTCTTTATTAGTAGCACATAGAAATACAATTTATATATATATATATATATTTTTTTTAAAGATTTTATTTATTTGACAGAGAAAGACACAGCGAGAGAGAGAACACAAGCAGGGGGAGTGGGAGAGGGAGGAGCAGGCCTCCCGCTGAGCAGGGAGCCCGATGCGGGGCTCGATCCCAGGACCCTGGGATCATGACCCGAGCCGAAGGCAGACACTTAACGACTGAGCCACCCAGGCGCCCCTACAATTTATATTTTTGTATTGATTTTTTTTAATCTAGTGACCTTCCTGAACTCATTTATTAGTTTAGTAGTTTTTTATGGATCCTTTAGGATTTTTTAGATACTGAGTCATTTTATCTGCCAAAAAATGACCGTTTTACTACTTCCTTTCTGATCTGAATGCCTCTTTTGCCTTGTTCTACTAGTTAGAACCGCTAATACATTGTTGAAGTGGCAAGAGCAGACATTTTTGCTTTTGATCCATTAAAAGTAGTTTCATCATCGTTCAAAGATTATATGGGTTTTTCTAGAGCTATCTTGGAGATTTGATTCATTTTATACTAGAATACTGAGGCCAGTTCCAGAATTAAGAAATATCTAGATGCTCTTGTGTCAAGAATGATCTGTGCTTTGTCTGCTAAGAGGACTAAAATCCAGCTGGCTAGGCTTTAGAAGTGATGGATCAGGGTGCCTGGGTGGCTCAGATGGTTGGGCATCTGCCTTCGGCTCGGGTCATGATCCCGGGGTCCTGGGATCGAGTCCCGCATCTGGCACCTTGCTCGGCAGGAAGCCTGCTTCTCCCTCTCCCACTCCCCCTGCTTACATTCCCTCTCTCACTGTCTCTGTCTCTGTCAAATAAATAAATAAAATCTTAAAAAAAAAAAAGTGATGGATCAGTGTAATACACATATTGTAATTTAATTATGAAGATTCTTGTTTTTCCCTGAGACCTAGGATTTAATCACTAGGAAGTTTCGGTTTCTTCAGAGGTGACAGTATTTAAATATTTTCTTTTTGTTGCCATAGGTTGTTGATGTTTGTTTGGGGGAAAAATGTTGTGTAGAGAGCCTCCTGTGTGGCCAGTCTTGGTTTTATCTGTTTGGAGTTGGGTTCTTGGGAGATTATAAAGGCAATCAACAAAACCATGGAGAGGAATGATTGTTTTAATTTCTTTAATATTCTTTAAGTTATACGCATTTATGCTTTTAATAGGAGCACCAATGAAAAATCGAAAATACACGTGATGATGTGTTACGTTACATAAGCAACCTAACGTTGGTTTTTAAAATTATCGGTAATATACTGTGATTATTTGGTATAAAGCAATGACTACAAAATTGGTTGTGTTTTAGAGTTTAAAATAAGCTATTTTTCTGCCCCATCTTGAAGTTACTGAATCAAACTTACTACAGAATATGCTACTCAGAAGTCTTGTATTTTAATTTGCTTTTTCCAGCCCCCAGGTGTTGTATGATTAGAGATAGATGAAATAAGATTGGCAAAATGTTGAAATTATTTAGTATTTGTCTTTTTCTAACTTTAATTGCCTTTAATATTCATCGTCCCTGGATTAGAAAGGACCGTTATAATGATAATGGCATCTTACATATTACATGCTATGGTTCTTTCCAATCTGGATACTTGTGAATATTAGGCAATCCTACTGCTTTAGGATTTCCTAGACTCAGAGTATCTTCCCCCAAATATTTATTACTACAAATGGAAAGATAGTAACTTTACAGTGGGCGACAACCAGGCGACACCATATTAACCAAGTATTCAAGGTTAATATCACAAATAATATGGAATTGACATCATAAGCCCCTTGGTGTGTCTTCTCACTGAGAAGGACACATCATTCTCTGGTGTTCTTGCCAAAAATGCATAAACCTCATTCCAATCATAAGAAAAAAAAAATGAGTCAAAGCAACTTTGGTAGACTGGAACAAACTAAGGAGAAATAGTAACTACATGTAATGTGGGATCCTGGAAAGAGAAAAAAAATTTTAAGAATCAACACAAACCCTGGAACAAAACTATTTGCATTACCTATGACTAAAGACTCATTTTTCTTTTTTTCATATAAATCGGTAGGAAAACATAGACATTGGTAAAAATGTGCAAAGGACATAAAGAAGCAGTATATGGTAAAAGAAATCTCAGTAATCAGTTAACTGAAAAATGTGCGACCACTTGCATAGTTCAAGAAATACAAGTGTGATTTTTTTACTTTTTAGAATGTCACCTGTTAAAAAGTATAATACCCAGTCACTCTTACAAATAGCATTTGTACTGTGTAAGTTAGTATACACCTTTTAGAAGGCAAATAGCATTTCTTCTTTTAGGAACTTACGTTATACCACTGCTAGCAGTGAAAGCAGATACATGTACAGCAGTGTTCAGCGTGGTAGTGTTTTTAATAGGAAAAAATGGTCCATCAGTACTGTAGCTGGTTAAATAAATGATGAAACATCCATATAATGGATTTTATGTAACATGTGAATAAAATAGACCTGTATTATGTTAGCTCTGGGAAGAATTCCAGGATATAGGATTAACTGAAAAGCGAGATAACAGAATATGGGATCATTGCATTTGCAGTTTTCAAAGTATGTAGGTATATGCATAAAAATTACTTCTGGAAGGAAAAAAGAACCTTAATAGTGTCTTTGTTGGGAAAGAGAGACCTGGACTTCAAGGACAGGGGAAGATTACTTTTCATTTTATACCTTTCTTTAAGGGGCACCTGGGTGGTTCAGTTGGTTAAGTGTCTGACTCGATCTCAGCTCAGGTCTTGGTCTTGGAGTCATGAGTTCAAGCCCATACTGGGCTCCATACTTGCATGGAGCCTGCTTAAAAAAAAAAAAAAAAGCCTTTCTTTAAAATCTGATTTTTAAAAATTGTATACATATTACCTTTATTTGAAAGAATAAAATTGCAATTTTATAAAACTAATGAAATTTATATTTTTGAACTTTTTTGTAAAGATTGTTTTTTTACCTTAATTTGGCCATTACCTAATAATATTATTGCCAAGTGCAGTATTTAGCACTTTTTATGCATCATACTTCATGTGTCATAATTTACTTAATTTTTGTAATTTCTTGTAAAATATGAAAGCTGCATTTCCTAATAAGAATTTTGGCAAATGAGCTTGTACATTAGTGGTTAGTGTCCGCTGCCTCATATGCTTGTTAAAAAACTGCAGAGGCTTCGCCCTGGGCTCTTGTCTAGCAAATCTGGGATGATGCCCAGGAATTTGTATTTTAAAAGAGTTCCTGAGATTATTCTGATTACAGCTTTAAAACACAGCTTTACATCATCAGATTTTTGTTTTTATAGACTTATTTTCTATAAATATGATGTTAGAAATTGTTTTTTAAAGAAAATATTTTTGAGCTATATGGCTTATTAGACCACATGTCTACCAACAGGACATAATTTATGAAATCCTTTTTTTTTTCTTACAGTTGATCATAGCCGAGTTAAGTTGACTTTAAAGACTCCTTCTCAAGATTCAGACTATATCAATGCAAATTTTATTAAGGTATGTATTAACTTCAAATGATGTTTCTCTGCCCTACTTAATGTCTTCCTACATACTAGTTTTATTAAAATTTTTTAAATTGCCTAAATATACCAATAGCAAAAACAAAACAAAACAAAACAAAAAACAAAAAGAAAATCACAGCCCTGACACACTCTTTATGTGGTGTCCTTCTAACCTTATTCGTAAAGATAAAGAGTTTTGCTTAGTATCATGATAGTTGAGATTGCTTTCTATTTTTTCTTTTTTTACATTGAAGGCTTATAAACAATATACTAATTGTTAAATCATCTTCTCCATTGTCCCTTTGGGTTTGTATACACAAATGTATATACATGGTTATTCCTTGTTGTTGAACTCTATAGGTTGCTTCCAATTTTCTTGATGGTAATATTGCAGTGAACATTGTTATTCTTTTGAATAATTTCTTAGGATAGATTATCAGGGCTGGAATTATTGGGTAATACTGATTTAAAATTATAGAATATAAGTTTAGATAAAAACCTTTTGAAAATTGTCACTGTGTTTCGAGTGGCAACCCAAGTGAATACAAGATTAAATACAGCCTTTATGTAGATAACCATTTTTGGATACTCTCATATCGAAAGCAGTCAAGTTCTTGCATAGCAGTTACCAATAGACAGATTCAAACTGCTACTTGATTAAATAAAAGACTACTTTGTTCCATTAGTTATTCTGTTTTTGAATGACAGTATAATTTCAGTTCTTTTATATATGGTATTTATAGATTTTTTTTTTTTAAAGATTTTATTTATTTATTTGAGAGAGAGAGAATGAGAGAGAGAGAACACATGGGAGGGGATAGGGTCAGAGGACGAAGCAGACTCCCTGCCGAGCAGGGAGCCCGATGCGGGACTCGATCCAGGGACTCCAGGATCATGACCTGAGCCGAAGGCAGTCGCTTAACCAACTGAGCCACCCAGGCGCCCCTATAGATATTTTTAAAAAATATTTTGTTGACAAAAATATTAAGGTGGTACGAGTTACATGGTAAAATTAATATTAACCCATGTCAACATTAAACAGTCAAGATTTCAAATAAAACTTTTTTCCCCAAAAAAATTTTACTAAAATTATGGCAAAACCCAAAATTAAGAAGTTAAACAAAAACTAATATGTAGGTGGTTTCCTGTTTAGATGTTGTCAATGTTGATATTCTTTTATAAGGACATTTGTTAAAAGTACTAGTTTTGCGGGGCACCCAGCTGGCTCAGTCGGTGGAGCATGCAACTCTTGATCTCAGGGTTGTAAGTTTGAGCCCCACATTGGGTTAAAGATTACTTAAATATAAAATCTTTAAAAACCAAAAAAAGCTCCAGTTTTTAATTCTACTTAGTAACATTGATTTATTTTTTTATTCAATTATGTGCTAGTTTAGTATTTTAGTCTGTTGTCTTATTTGGTATATTCCCAGGTTTCTTATTAGATATGTATATAGTAGGCACTCAATAAATCTTTTAAGTTGAGTAAATAATTGAAGGTAGCTGTGGAAGAATGTAGCTAAGAAAGAACTATCAGGTAGTTTTACTATTGTTTTTAGAATCAAAGCATGCTTCTTTATGTTTCTTTCTAGTTAGCTTTGTTGACTAGGTATTGGGGCTTTTTTTTAAAGCCAGGTAAATAGTAATTTGTAAATTAGCATAAGGCAATTTATTTATCAATTCTGTGTGCCATGTCTAATAAATACACAAAAATAGGATATTGTTTGGAAATACTTCAGGTGAAAAGAGGAGTATTGCTAATAAAATTTGAAACCTTAGATTTTAGGTAAGGAAATATTTTTAGTAATTGTAATAAATATGAAATTTCCTTTTAACCATTTTAGGGTGTTTATGGGCCAAAAGCGTATGTGGCAACCCAAGGACCTTTAGCAAATACAGTAATAGATTTTTGGAGGATGATATGGGAGTACAATGTCGTAGTAAGTAATTTAATTTTCATAATCTATTTTGAGAAGTATTATATGTAATGACATAGGATGTTTTGCTGAATAAGGAATGAGAAGACTTTTTAGCCATAATGATATGTTAATTATAACTAATGTTTACTAAAAAGACTGAAATTGAAGTCTAGGATGTCTCATTCGAGTCTCACAAATTAGTTGAAATATTTTAAGAAGAGTGGTGATAATACTTTAAATCTTTTCCTCAGTCAGTTAACTAAGAAGATACCTACCGTAAGATGGATTAATAGATGGATAGAGGGATAGCTATGTGATAGAAGAAGAGTGAAGTCTTAATGGTAGAATATAGATGGTAGCTATACAGTGTTTACTTCAGCTTTGCTATATGTTTGAAACATTACATTATAAAATGTTGGGATGAAGAAGCAAATCTAATAACCTTTTTGTTTAAAGATAGTATTAAATGCATTCAACTTTCAGATAATTTTATTAAATATATTTTAAATACGTTTGGTAAATATGCTAAAGGTGATATTTTAATGTAATTTCAAAAGTCAGAGGCCAATCTATAAGGATCATAAAATTTAATTCAAATTAAATACATTATGTTAATTGAAGCCAATTTAATTTGTTGCTATATAGTTATCCCTTGATTGTAAGGTGTGATTTTGATCATTTCTTTAACTCCTACTTTTAATATTAAAATTGCTTTTTTTGACAGGCCAGGTATAATTTTACTCAGAGTAAAAAGTAATTCTTGAATTCATATTTTATTTAAAAAGTAAAATTGTGTTTAACTGATACAGTCTTTATCTCATCCCATCTCCTATTTCTTTTTAGATCATTGTGATGGCCTGTCGAGAATTTGAGATGGGAAGGGTATGTATACCTATTAACACTTAAAGTAATTGTGGAGGATCCTTTTTATCACTTCATTTCTAGGGATATATGGTTCCTGATTCTTTATTCTATTCTGAGCCTAAGTAGTTAAGGTAGATACTTCTTTTTTGTGTTCTGTTATTGGTTTTATTTGATAAAAGGAACATCATAATCTCTAAAAAGCACATAAACTTTTTTTTTTTACATTTCATAAGTATGTTTTATGATACACTTAAAATAATAGATACTGTATTATTACTTAGTCTTTCGAAGTTTAATGGTGGTGTAAATAGAACACTATTTATGGCCTGCAGTAGAGAGGAATAAATTGAACAAATGAAAATTAATTCAATAAAGTAATTTTGATTAATTATATCAATTTATAGCTGGAATATTCTGATTTTTCTGTCTGAGAATACCACTAAAATTTTTTGTTTGTTCATACTATCTTCAAAAGCAAAGAGAACAAAATTCCTTAATCTGAAGTTTTTAACATTGGTATTTTTATACTCTGTGCAAGTAAAATTAGTTTTAAAACCATGTGATCTCCTGCAGCATCAAGACCAACTAAGTCTTTATGTTGGTGGTGCTAATATATTTACAGAAAATAGGTATTAAATAAAACTTAAGTGTGGTCTTCTATAAATGTGACACATCAGACTTAGAAACAAATTATGTGGTGATTTGAATTTTCCTTATACTAATGTGGTACATTGGTTAAAGTAAAATTTTTTTAAATCTGTTTCACCCATCTCCACACCTACCCTCCCCTCTGGCAAAAAAGTTGTAAAACTTCTTGTTAAATTTTTTTCGGTAAAGGATATATTGCATAAAGAAAGATAGTGCATCTTTTAGTTATGTGAGACATTGTACTACATAAATCATTGGGAAACCAATGTATTGGTGTATTTTAACTAATAATTTTTGTCATTCCTCCCTATTAAATTGGATAGGGAGGAATGACAATATTTAATCCCTATTAAATATTGGATAGAAAATTAGTAGTCTAAGATTAGAAAATACACAAACCAATAAATTAAGTAATTAGGTTATCTGTTTAAGAATTGACAGGATATACTTCAATACCAGTATTATTAATTGTTTGTATTAGAAAATTTAAATTTCACTCTCCTACTGTTTAAGTTACTGTTAAGGTTTAGGATTTATTCCTCCTTTCATTTCTGTTAATGTTTGCCACTTGTATTTCAGTAATAATACTTGATGGAAAAAGGTCATACTGAGTACAGAATTTTTGAAGCTAAAGATTTTGTGATTCATAGTGTTTTGTTAGTAGTAAATTGTCAGTGAGTTAGGACCTATGAATTTATTTGATGAGTTTGACTGATTTTGACCTAATGGAAAGAACATAGATAATGAAATAAAATAAACCTACACTAGCATTTTGACCACGGTGCAGTGAACTATACCCTCTGAGCTTTAGTTTTCTTATCTATGAAACGAATGTGATGATTATAGATTATGCATGTATGATGTTTAGCACATAGTTTTTGGTGTCAATTGTTTATTAGTTTATACCTGGAATATAAATACCAATATATTCCCTACTTAGTTACAACCTGGAAAATTCTTCTTATAGCAAGTAGAGTGTTCTTTCTACTATCCCACAGATTTTATACCTAATGGGAATTCAGCTAGATATTATAGAGATTGTCATTTTACAAACATTAAAACTTGCCTGGCAACCCTTTATACTAAACAGACTTTTTGTGCCAGGCACTTTGTTTTTTTAAAGCAGTGTTTCTTTTCTAGAGGAGGATCTTTGCAATCTACTCTGTTGACCAAGCAGATAGCAATGAACTGCTTAGACACTTATATTAATAAAGTTCCTTTGAGTAATCTTGGAGAACAAATAGTAGCTTACCTTTAAGAACAGTTGGATAAGTGTAAGCTCTTCTAACACTTCGCCTACTGATGACAGTTTTTCTGTCTTCTGGGAAGAGCAACAAGCTGAACACTAGGGCACAGAATATTTGTAGAAGTTCAGGAAAAACTACCATATGGATTACTTACTGACTTTTTTTTTTTGGACAACAGAAAAAATGTGAACGCTATTGGCCTTTGTATGGAGAAGAACCTATAACATTTGCACCATTTAAAATTTCTTGTGTAAGTACTTAGTTATATATATATATATATTATTCAGAAAATTGGGATGCTAGACTTATGAATAATTATAATATGATATGAACCCAGTTTTATATAAGCCAAGCATTCAATATTTCCATGTATACTTAATTATAATAAATATATATTAATAATAATGTTTGTTTTTTGGGGCCCCTGAGTGGCTCAGTCAGTTAGGTGGCTGACTCTTGATTTTGGCCCAGGTCATGATCTCAGGATCCTGGGATTGAGCCCCACATCAAGCTCCGTGCTTGGCAGGGAGTCTGCTTGAGGATTCTCTATCTCCCTCTCCTTTTGCCCCTCCCCCTTGCTCTCTCTCTCTCTCAAATAAATAAATCTTCAAAAAAATAATAATGTTTGTTTTTATACTGCTTTTAAATTTAAAAGCTTTGAAAATGACTTCATAAATGCATAATTTCCTTTTACTTTATTATTTTAATTTTCTGTTAGTCTTTGTATATAAGTCGATAATAAATGTTGTATATAAGAGTAAACAGGGTAACCTAGCTGTGCTTTGAGTGATCTATTTAGAAATTGGTATTAAAGTTGGGGTGCCTGGCTGGCTCAGTTAGTGGAGCATATGACCCTTAATCTCAAGGTAATTGGCATAAAGTAGTAGTTTCAAACTGAAATGGGAAAGAACCTTGATGACTGAAGTATAGTGTATCTTGTTAATCTTTCATATGTTTGTTACGCTATCCAGAAGTTTTGTAATTATATACAAAGATGGTTTTGAGAACTGCTTGATCCTATATGGCAGATAATTTATTATGAAACTTAAAATATATACCTATTTAATAAGCTCTAGAAATGAGTTAAATTCAAGTTCTAAAACTAACGCAGCCAAATCTGAGAAAATGAATTAAAAAACAAAAACAATGAAGGAAAAGCAAAAAAGAGAAGTAAAATATATGAGCTTTTAGAATAGAACCAACAATTTGCTTTTGTTACACCCAATGGCATCTTTTTTTTTTTTTTAAGATTTTATTTATTTATTTGACAGAGACACAGCGAGATAGGGAACACAAGCAGGGGGAGTGGGAGAGGGAGAAGCAGGCTTCCCGCTGAGCAGGGAGCCCAATGGTGGGACTCTGTGGGGCTCAATCCCAGGACCCTGGGATCATGATCTGAGCCCAAGGCAGATGCTTAATGACTGAGCCACCCAGGCGCCCCCAGTGGCATCTTTCTTAATCACCTGAAGGAAATATGTTGTCTTATTTACTCAAACTCAAAGATTATGACTGAACATAGATGAAAATTAAATAACTTCCCTTTATTAGTTAAGGTTTTCCAGAGAAATAGAACCAGTAAGATATGCATATATAAAGAGAAAAAGATTATAGGGAATTGGCTCATACAATCATGGAGGCTGGCAAGTCCAAAGTCTGCAGGGTGGTCAACCAAGCTGGAGACCCAGGGAAATTGACAGTTTAGTTCCAGTCTGAAGACCAGCAACCTGGAAACTACGGAGAGCTATTAGGGTAGCAGTTCTAGTCTAAAGGCAGGCAGGCTAGAGACCCAGAAGGGCTGATACTCACTTCCAGTTTAAAGACAATCTGCTGTACAACCAGGAAGAGCCAGTGTTGCTAATGAAAGTAGTATATTGGAGAATTCTCTCATTTGGGTAAGACTGGTCTTTTTGTTCTAACTGATTGGAAGAGGGCCACTCCCACTATAGAGGCAATCTGCTCTACTCAAAAGTCCACAGATTTAAATATTAATCTTACCCAAAAACACATTCACAGGAACATGAAGAATAATGTTTGACTAAACATCTGGGAACTCCCATGGCCCAGGCAAATTGACACATGAAATTAACCATCACATTCTCCATTGCACAGTGACTTGTTTCTAACCTTGTTTTCTGTGGTTAAGTAAAATATAATTTCTGTGATTTCATTTGTCTCTGGTGAGTTAAAGAAGTCCATAATTTTATGACTTACTTGTACTTAATGGCTTTTAAATTCCTCTGATGCATACACAAAGTTTATTGCTTTCTAAGTTGATGTAGAAAAGGACTCAAGGTGTTTACACTGTCTCCTCTATAAATGCAATGTGATTTTTGTAATGTTAACTATATCTCATAGTTGAATTGCCTGGATTTAATAAGCAGCCAATATTCTAAAGCCCTGGTTAGAATTAACTGTTTGTGGGTTAAATATAAATTTTTAAAATCCTACTGTATTTCATGTTATTTGGAATGGATTAAAAACCAGTACATACTGCTTTGTGTATTTCTGTGAGGGAACACCTCCCTCCTCAGCAATCCGTAAAGTATTCTACAATATTAAGTCCCTGAACAGTTCAGGAAACCTATTTTCTGTGCAGTATAGTTGTGTTGAACATTTGTAAGTTTAAATATAATAAGATATCTGTACTAAATGTTATAATTCAAGTGAAAACAAATAGTGCTTAACATTCAACAACTAAATGAGTTGAAATTTTTGAAGAGTTGGGGTTCAAGATTAGTAAACAACATTTAAAATAATAGAAAGAAAGAAATAGATTATCATTTGGAAAAACATGATTTGACTTTTTTGGGTGATTTTTAAAATTGAACTAAAAGATAATTTAAAAAGTCCCTGTAAGAGACTTGATTTGATTAGCAGTAGCTGATTTGACTTGTCAATATTGGGATTGATCCATGCTAAAGAAGCAAAATTCTTTCAAGATTTCAAATGGAAAGTAATTTGTATGTCTTGTGGTTATTTCTGACAATTCAGGATTTCTTATCACTGATGTAAACAAAAACCAAGTTTATAGGGGCACCTGGATGTCTCAGTCTGTTAAGTGTCTGACTGTTCATTTTGGCTCAGGTCATGATCTCAGGGTTGTGGGATCAAGCCCTGAGTTCGGCTCCATACTCAGTGGGGAGTCTGTTTGGAATTCTCTCTCTCCTCTCCCCCTGCTCTCACACTTCCTCTCTCTTTCTCTCTCTCTCAAATAAATAAATCTTTTTAAAAAATTAAGTTTATAATTAGAAAGCAGGTTGGTGAAAATAGTCATAGTAAGTGACTTGACTACTTGGCATTCGGTTTTTGAGACTGAGAAAAGACAGTATCAGAAGCTCTCTTGGTTTGGGGATGAGAAAGAGGGTAAAGTATTGGTGGGAAAGGGAGGACTACCTAGGAGGAACTTAGTCATATGTTGCTGCATGTAACCACTTAGACCAGGTGTTGGCACGCTATGCCTAGGTCAGTCTGACCCACTGCCTGTTTTGTAAATATTTACTAGAATACAACCATGCCCATTAATTTACATATTTCCCTATCACAACAGCAAAGTTGAGTAGACAAAAGACTTTATGGCCCACAATGCCAAAATATTTACTATCTAGCCTTTCTTAGTAAGGAAAAGTTAAGTCTAGGGGCTTCTGGCTGGCTCAGTCAGTGGAGCCTGTGACTTTTGATCTCAGGGTTGTAAGTTCAGGCCCCACATTGGGTGTAGAGATTACTTAAAAAATAATAATAAAATCAAATTTAAAAAAAAGTTAAGTCTTGGACCAGTGTTTTCATCCATACTCCTTTTTTTTTTGTTGAAAATAAAAACATAAATGTTTTTAATGTTATGTATTTAATGTTATTTGAAAAGTTCAAAATGAACTGCTGTGATTTAAAAAATTAAAGCAGGAATAATATTGAATATTCTTTTTATTAAAAAACAGCACATCCTGTTGTTCTTGACAGTCACCACCCTAGATTATCTGTGGTTTTATATACAAAAGCAGAAAGAATAGTTTCCTAAGGGACAAACTGATATAGTGGCTTCATTCTAATACTTTGACAAATGATACTGAGAGACTTGTAAAGTAATGGTTATGTTGTCATCAATCAAAATAGTAATTTGGAATTTTATGAGTGCGTCTTCTTCCTTCCCAAGTCTACATCCAGTTAACTGAGAGGTGAGTGTTAGGTAGGGAAAATCAGGCTTTAGGGAAAGATAAAATAGTTGAAGATGGTAGTGGGTACTGAACAGTGTACATTTTGTATTATTTTTCTTATATAATTCTGGGGATGGTTGTAACTTTGCAAATATTTTATTGGATGATAGACTTGGTTAAGTAATTGGTTAGCAGACACTTCTGGGTTTTTGTTTTTGGTTTTTAACTGTAAGTAAAACTTAGATAAACAACTTGGTGACTTTTAGAATGGTTTTTTATTTGTTTTGGAGAGAGAGTGTGCGGTGGGAGGGGTGGGTAGAGGGAGAGAGAGAATCTTAAGCAGGCTCACACCCAGCACAGAGCCTGTTGTGGGTCTTGATCTCACGACTTGAGATCATGACCTGAGCCAAAATCAAGTCTGACGCTTAACTGACTGAGCCACCCAGCTGCCCTAGAATGGTTGTTTTTGTAATTACCAGGTATACCTGGAATTTTAATGGTTAATTTTATATTGTGGACTTTAAATTCAAGGTTATTGTTTGTTTTGGTGTGTTTGTTTTTGTTTCAGTGTTCTCACTGACTCACAAGTGTTTTCCTTTATTTTAGGAAGCTGAACAAGCAAGAACAGACTACTTCATTAGGACACTCTTACTTGAATTTCAAAATGTAAGTATTTTCCATTTAGAGACAGTTTCTGAGGATAGTTTTTAAAGAGGATATATAAATTGTATGCCATCTTATCTTACATAGTTAAGGAAGTTTGTTAATTATTTCCCTTATTAAAATAATAAAGAAGATAATCAGAGTGTAACATTTTATTTAGTATTTTCAGCCTTAAGCTTATAAAATTAGATAAAGTAATATAAATTTTAACTTAAAACAATTTTCCTAAATTTACTATATTTGGAATATTTGGTTCTTTGCTGCAAATATTTTTCCTCTATTACAGTAAGCAGATTATAGCATTGTTTACAAAATTATTATTATTATTATTTTTTAAAGATTTTATTTATTTGACAGAGAGAGACACAGAGAGAGAGGGAACATAAGCAGGGGGAGTGGGAGGGGGAGAAGCAGGCCTCCCGCGGAGCAGGGAGCCCGATGTGGGGCTTGATCCCAGGACCCTGGGAACATGACCTGAGGCGAAGGCAGACGCTTAACGACTGAGCCACCCAGGCGCCCCTGTTTACAAAATTATTACCCAGTTTTGCTAGTTTACAACTTTATCGAAACAAACCACCATCAAAGCTAAGTCTTCATTTAGATAGATATTATTTTTACTTGAGGCCTTTGACTTTAGTGTTTCAGATCTATATAAAATAATTTTCTAGGAAGAAATCAAAGAAAATCTGATGGACATTAGAGAATGCCATTTATTGGTTTCTTCCTCGATCTCTGTATTTTTATTATTTTAATTTTTTAAACCATTATGAACAATTAAGCATGTCCATAAAGTGCATCATTCTTCCTCAACTATTATATTTGTAAACATACTTATAGCTCCTACCTTCCTGTTTACAAGTAGACATGGTTCCAGCACTCCATACTTTGAGAACCACTGATCTAAAATAAGGAAATGGATTGGGGTTGGACGAGTTTTGTTTCTGATTTTCTTTTTCAGTTTAAACATTCTGTTAGTCTTCTAATTACAGTAGATTTGAACACAGTGCTTACGATATATTGCTCATCCATTTACTGTGGATTAATTAAAAAATATGCATAGTGTAAGGGTTAAAAGTGCACGCTCTGCAGGTGCTTGGGTTCAGACCCGCATTTGTCACTTGCTGTGAAACATTAGGCAAGTTATTTAATCTTTCTGTCTTAAATTACTTACCTATAAAATGTGGATAGTATTAACAGTGCCTTTCTCATAGCATCACATGAATAAGTAAATTGTTATATATGAAGACCTTATATCAATACTTGGTATATGAGAGTCAATAAATCTAGTTATTTATTTTTTTAAGGCATTGTTAAATACCACATAAATATATTACAAATGACAGTAAAGTGAAATGTGCAGCTTTTATGTATGCTTTTTTTATAACTGTTGAATTACTGTTATTCTTAAAGGAATCTCGTAGGCTATATCAGTTTCATTATGTGAACTGGCCAGACCATGATGTTCCCACATCATTTGATTCTATTCTGGACATGATAAGCTTAATGAGGAAATACCAAGAACATGAAGATGTGCCTATTTGTATTCATTGCAGGTACAAAAGAATTTTCCAAATATTTAAATACTTTGGAATATAAGTGGCATTATAATATGGGTGAAGTTTGGTATTTTGAAACCTAAGTTTTGGAATTACCAAGAGAGATAGGTCATTATATTGGTTTCCAAATAGTAAAAGCTATCTGAATCCTGAGGAAATTTTTCTTCTCTTAATTTTTAATTTACGTTGGATTCTTCTAAAAGACTTAGATAATACTTATTTCATAAAACTGCTATCAGTTTCTCTAAGTGACTTGTATCTACATTCACATTTGTTATAAAGAGTAAATGAAATTTCTCAGACTCAAAAATTTACTGGTTAGTTAAATAGTTCAGAGATTTTTTTAGTGGAGACAGAACGCCAAAGATAGTTTTTCTTATCCAGTAGGTCTGATTGTAATGCTTATTAGTGAGTTGAAAAGGCTGCTTTTTATTTATGGGCCAGAAAGGTGACTTGCTGATGGACATGTGGGAATCAGTTAACAACTTGGTTAATTAAAAAATATTTTTCTATAGTTAATTCAGTGGTTAGTTGACCATTTAATTAAGTAGTTGGCTGTTTAAGAAGAAAAAATCTAATTATAGTAATTGCTTTGACTTGACTTCTTCAGAAGTTAGTCACAATCATTTTTTGTTCTATCAGTGTTGCCCAATGTATATATATATAGTTCATAAATCCAATTTGATAGGAAGGTTTTCCTTTAAAAAATTAAATAGACCATTTAATATTTTTAAACAGCCAAAATAGTATTTTAACTGTAGTGACATACATAAGAGAAAGGAAATCACTTACAATTCCAGTAGAGGTGCTCATTGTTAAAACTTGAGTATATGTCCTTCAGTGTGTGTGTATATTTTTAAAGAATGTTTCCCCATGTAATATAATTGTGTACATTTTTCTAAATCATATAACTATTCTTTCTACAATGAATTATGACTGCCCTATACTTTATATTTAACTTCCATTCCTTGGCATTTACTATGCCTCCCCCATCCTTTTTCATCTATTTTCATTTTTTTAAACATTTATTTATTTATTTTAAAATATTTTATTTGTCAGAGAGAGCAAGAGCACACAAGCAGGGGGAGCTGCAGGTAGAGGGAGAAGCAGGCTCCCCACTGGGCAGATCACTGGGCATGATCTGATTTGGCTCAGATCATGACCTGAGCCAAAGGCAGATGCTTAACCAACTGAGTCACCCAGGCGTCCCCTTTTTCATGTATTTTAAACAATAGTTTAAATGTCCAAGTGGCTGTCTTTGTAGTGAAATCTTTGAGCACATCTGTAATTACTTCATTAGGATAGATATAAGCAAATGGGATTCCTAAGTGAAAGAACATGAACTTTTTCGTGCTTTTAACACATATTTTAAATTCTGTTATCCATAAAGCTAATGCTGATTATAATTAGTTTGTGGGGTGCCCGTTTTCCCATACTCTCCCCAATACTGTTATCTTCTTGTTTGTTTGATTTAATGCCTGAATGACAGGCCACCTTTTTTTTTTCTTGGTAGTTTATATTCTTTTGTGACTTGCTTGTTTGTATACTTTGCCAATTATTTCATAGCAGGCATTCATCTCTTAATAATTATGTTATAAATTCTTCATATATCTTTATATATTGAGGTTGTTAACTTTTAATCATGTTGTAAGTAGCATGGTTTTTAAATGGCTTTTATTCTGCCAGTCTTTTGCCACACATAAATTTTAAGTTGTTATGTAGTCAGAGTTGTGAATCTTCATTTATGATTTCTGTCCATTGAGATGCTTAGAAAGTTCTTCTGTAACAGTCGTACATAAACTACCTTTTTAGCACTTTTATAGGTTTTTTGTAAACATATTTCTAATCCATCTGGAATTTTTTTTTATGATTAAGGTATAAGGTAAGAATCCAGCTTTTGCTCTTGTTAGGCTTACTTTCCCTGTATCATTTATTGAATGGTCTAATCTTTCTCCTTTCATGGGAGAATTCACCATTATGTAATACTTACATATACTTGGATGTGTTTTTGAATTTTGCATTATGTTTCATCAGTCTGGTTGTATATGTCTTTGTAAGGTCACACTTTTAACCATCAAATTTAAATATATGTCATTTAGCCCCTAGTAACTAATGCAGTATGCTAGAACTGTTTTGATGTGAGGAATTGATAAATGTATCAACAGTTAAAAGTTAATATTACTGATGTCCGTTAAGAGCTTTTTAAAAATCATACTAAGTTGCTTATAGATGTATTTTATCAGGAAATCTTAGATGACATGTTTGACAAACTACTCATCTTTCTAAAGGTTTTGAAATATGTATTAAAATGCTACCCAACTTTTTTTCTACCTAAAAATTATTCTGGAGATATCAGTAATATCTTTAATTACTCAGAGTGATTCTCAGTCCTGAGGAGCATGTCTCCTATATCCCTCTAGTTGAGAATCAGTTGCTCTAACGTACTTTTGTCATGTTTTAAAATACAAAAATCCTGCAGAATTCTACTCTACATTCTCCAGGTTCTGTTATTTCTTTAGGAGATGGGAGTGCATCACTCGTCGTTGTTCTTCTGGTGAAATCACTGCTACTGTTCAAACCAATTTCTAGGGCTTGTGGTACTCCTCATCTTTTCTATACCTTTTGCAGATTGAAATGATGTATTGTTTCCTCCTCTACTCTAAGGCACCAGAGCCATATTCGACGTAAATTACATTTCTCTCTGCAAGTTATTATGTTGGCAAGACAGGATTTTCTGAGGTAGAATTAGACTTACAAAGTAAAAGCTGCTAGGTATTTTGTGAATCACTTAGGTATTCTCTGAATCTTGGAAGTGCCCTGAATTAAACAAAAACAAGATATAAATACTAATGTTAAAGATGTTTGCCATGCATACACTTTAAGTTATGATTTGTTTACTAAGATAGTAGAATATTGTCAAATTTCTTAAATGATTTTTTTTGCTTCTGAAAATTGTGTTCATCCACATTTATTTTATAGTTCTTTTATGACAAAAACCAAATCGTTCTTTCAAATTTTATATTTATAGTGCAGGCTGTGGAAGAACAGGTGCCATTTGTGCCATAGATTATACGTGGAATTTACTAAAAGCTGGGGTAAGAATAATTTTTATATAGCATTATATCCAATTGATGTATTATTATTTTCCGACTTAATGGTAAATTGCAGTAAATTATAACATGTGTTTCGTTATGCATGTTACTTATTTAGAAATAGCTTTACTCTGTAAGAAAAAAGGTAGTGGAACTGGAAAAGGTATAAATGATGTTTATTACCTTGAGATAATGCATGAGGCAGCAAGGTAAACATGTTACCACCCCTGTGTTCCGTGTGAATTGATACCCGCATTTAGAATGTAAAATCTGGGTTGACTTCTCCAAATACAGAATCTTCACTGCCTTTTATATTTATTCCAGGTATAAGTGTTATCAATTCAATAAATATTTATGCCTAAATGGAAATATTATTTTATAGTGGTTAAGGATGTTGAGTCTGGAGCCATAATGCCCAGATTAAAATTCAGTCCTTCACTGTCTGTGGGATTTTGATCAAATTACTTAATTTCATTGTGCCTCGATTCTTTCAACTGAAAATGGGAATCGTAATATTAATAACTCATAAAAAATAAATTAACTTTGTAAAGTTCCTTAGAACTATGTGTGTCCTATATCAAGTGCTCAGTTCAGTGTTAGTTTTCATTAAAATCGGTGTTACTGTTGTTACTACCACTACTATTTCAAAGACGTTGTGTTCAATACTATGGAGGATATAGAAGTAAGTAAAACACAGTCCTCGTTACAGATTTGAAAAACGTTGTTGTCTCATTGTATGTAGATTTGCTTCTCTTACTGGTTCTATAGTATTCATTTTCTATGCATTAGGAAGAAGTTTTTAATTCTTTATAGCTTTTTAAAAAATTATTTTTTTAAACACTATGCCCAGCATGGGGCTTGAACTCACAACCCCGAGATCAAGAGTCACATAACTCTACTCACTGAGCCAGCCGGGTTGCCCCCTTTATAGCTTTAAGGTGTGTTTCTGTGTCTTTATCTTGTATCAAATAGGATTAATAAAATATTTAGTTTCTTTTTTTTTCCGTCCTTCCTTCCTCTATTCTTTCTCTTTTTTCCCCGGCCTTAACATTTTTCAATTTTGCTAGGGAATATTTAAATTTTAAACTTTCTTCAAAAGCCCTTTGGGGTTAAATTTTATTTTTGTATTCCTCAAAAATGTAATCATCTCCTGATACTCAAATGAAAATTTTTAAGTGAACAAAATTTAACTAGGATTCTAACCCATTTTAACATAAAAGTCAAAGATTAAAACTGGGATGGAAAGAGGCATTTAAATAAATGCCAGTAAGCAGAAAAAACATCTGGTCATTCCACAAGTTGTGTATTTTGAACATAGTCCTCATTTGATTGTGTTTGGCGTAACATATATATAATCTTATGTTTTAGTTTAGGACTTGATGTAAAAATCTTTTTTTTTTTTTAAGATTTTATTTATTCATGAAAGAGCACGAGCAGGGGGGAGGGGCAAAGGGAGAGGGAGAAGCAGACTCTGCTGAGCAGGTAGCCTGATACGGGACTCAGTCCCAGGACCCTGGGATCATGACCTGAGCCAAAGGCAGATGCTTAACCAACTGAGCCACCCCGGTGCCCTGTGAAAATCTTTTGATGTATATAAAGACTCTCAAACAGTAGACCTGGGAATCTTTTTAACTCTTCTTCTTTATCACTCCAAAATATTCTTGTTGATCACCAAGTTCTAATAGTTCTGCCTGAGAAGTGTGGCTCAAATCTGTTTGTACCTTTCTTTTTTTAGATTCCTTCAGTAAACTTCTACCAGTTTCTCCCTTTCAGACTCTGATCTTCCCTGCTGCAAAGCAGACTGAGTATCAGATCTGCTCATGTCAGTGTTACCTCTTGTAGTAGTTCTAATTCCAGATGTACCAAAGAATTGTCAGGGATGTTTCACAGTCTTCAGAGACCTGGCTGAGGGATCTGTATTTTTACCAGCTTTCTTAGTTGGTTCTTATGTAGCCAGCCCAGGAAACAGTGGCCTGTGGAATAAGTTCAAACTCTATTATGTTTACAGTCTGATTCCAGGTAGCCTTATCTTCTTTCCTCCTTAAATACCTCTCCTCCTTTCAGTTTTAGGCTGTATCAAGCTACTGAATTCCCCAAAAAGATTATACATTTAATCTGCCATGCTTATGTATATTTCCTTCACTTTTTACTCCACACACCAATCAGAGTTAGTCACAGCGTCTTTATTCCCACTGCACTGCAATTATGCCTTGGCTGGATATTTATTTGTTCACTTATCTCACTGGCTTGACTGCTGAGGGTCCAGATTAACTTTGTATCTTCAATGCCAACAACAATGTCTGATGGCTGGTAGGTAGTGCTCAGTAAATGTTTTCAGTCATCCAGCATGTATATAAGGTCTGTTTGAGAAGTTACAGGTCCACATGAAAAAGAGTTGATGTGTTAAATTCTTTGTTTTAGAAAATACCAGAGGAATTTAATGTATTTAATTTAATACAAGAAATGAGAACACAGAGGCATTCTGCAGTGCAAACTAAGGTATAGTTTTTTGTTTCACTTTATATAGACTGTATTTTTTTAAATATCTTCTTGGTTTGTTTTGTTTTTTTTTCAAATGTCTTTTCCCTTGTTTATTTTCCCTTGTTCATCATGTCATCTCCCTAATAGGAGCAGTATGAGCTTGTTCATAGAGCTATCGCCCAACTGTTTGAAAAACAGCTACAGCTATATGAAATTCATGGAGCCCAGAAACTTGCTGATGGAGTGGTAGGTGTTCTTGGCCTATTAATTTTAGAAAACGTTCCTTTCCTTTCCTTTCTTTTTTTTCTTTTTAGATTCTTTTTTTTTTTTTAAGTAATCTCTACACCCAACGTGGGGCTCAAACTTAACCCCAAGATCAAGAGTCCCATGCTCTACTGACTGAGCCAGCTGGGTGCCCCAAAAACTTTTTTTTTACCAAGATGTAATATTTAGCTTTCTAATGGTTATCTGTGTTTTACCTAACGTGAGAATATCCATGACAGTTGTTATTTTTATTTAACTTTGATTTTGTTAACTCCTTTCCTTCTTCCTGTTTGAATCTCTCTATTATCATGGACATTTAATGACTCCAGTACAAGTTAAATAATACTCAAAATAGAATATAGTTAGGAAAATAGCTCTTATGTCAAAAATCTTTACTGTTTCAAATATAAGTTACTTTTAAAAAAATTAACTGCATTGTTCTCTCTTTTCTTCTACCCCCCACCTAAGTAATTTTAAGTTGATTCTACATGAATTAAATTGTGTTCTTGGTTATGATGATATAAAGTTTTATAATTAATTTTGTATAGGCTTTTTAATTAAGTAGAATTATAGTGCTACAATGAAGTCCCTTTTTGGCATGTGTTTCGTTCAATGTCATTTTAGCCTTAACTGATCTTATTGGATGTTCACACTTTTGACCTGACAGAAATACTTTATTCTCATAGTGTTCTCATGTCTGCCTCTGTTTTCTAACTAGTTCTTTTATTTGCTGCCTTTCTGTAATCATCTTGTCCTTGAAGGTATTGTGCTGTTTTTTTGATAAAATTTCTTTACGTTTTTATCCCTGAACCTAAGATAGCCATCACATGATAAATCAATTTAGCCGCAATAACTGAAGTAAAATGAGGAAATGAGTTGCAATTTATAACCTTTGTTTTCGTTTTCTTCTTCACATTGTGTTTGGCATTTTCCTAGACTATTTGTTTGAAATTTCTTGGTTTTATAAATGAGAGACTTGTTAAAACCAAATGCTGATCACAGTGTCTTAAAATAATCTAATATTCATTCATGAGTTTTAGGAGCTATGTATTTCCTTTATTAGCCAAGTGATAATTGTAGATTTTTAAGATTAATATGTGTGACCTCATTTTTATTTCTTGTATTAACATAGGAATCGTTGTGCAACTAGGCCTTACATGTTGCCATCTCTTTTTCCCTTTATTTTTTAAAAAGATTTTATTTATTTGAGAGAGAACGAGAGAGAGAGCATGGGGTGGGGAGGGTCAGAGGGAGAAGCAGACGCCCCGCTGAGCAGGGAGCCCAATGCAGGACTCGGTCCCGGGACTCCAGGATCATGACCTGAGCCGAAGGCAGTCGCTCAACCAACTGAGCCACCCAGGCGCCCCTCTTTTTCCCTTTAGTTTAATTAAAACCTGTTACAATCTGTGCTGAATGTAGCCAGATATTGTATAACATAGAATAGAATGCTTTATATATTATTGTGTATAATGTTATTTAAATTGAGAATCAGTTAATGCTTCAGAAAGCTAAATAGGCTGTGCTTTTTTTCTTTAAATTTTAGTGGAAGAACATTTGTTGTTTATATAAATGCAAGATTAATTTCAAAGTTAGTTTCTATACTTCAGAAATGTAGATACTTTAGACTACCATTTCCTTAGTATATACAAGTGAAAAATATTCTAACCCTTACATTTTTCAAATGTATAGGAAATACTTATTTCATTTTTTATTGGGATATAATTGACATATAACATTGGTTTTGGGTATACAGCATAGTTATTTGATATTTGTATATATTGTGAAATGATCATCACAGTAAGTCTGGTTAACATCCATTACCACACATAGTACAAATTTTCTTTTCTTGTGATGAGAACTTTTAAGATTTACTCTAATGAACTTTGAAATATGCAGTACAGTGTTATTAAGTGTAGTCATCATGCTGCACATTATATCCCATAATTTTTAAATTTTATACCTGGAAGCTTGCATCCTTTGACCCCCTTTACCCATTTCACCCACCTCCTACCCCCCACTTCTCGCAAGCACCAGTCTGTTCTTTGTATCTGTGAGTTCAGTTTTTTGTTTGTTTGTTCTTAGAATCCGCATATAAGTGATATCATACTGTATTTGTCTTTCTCTCTTTGACTTCTTTCACTTAGTATAGTGCCCTCAAGGTCCATCCATGTTGTTGCAAATGCCAAGAATTCCTTCTTTTTTATGGCTGAATGATACTCCATTGTGTGTATATGTCCCGTTTTCTTTATCCATTCGACAAATGGACCTTTGGGTTGCTTTCATGTCTTGGGCTCTTGTATGTATGTATGTATTTATTTATTTTAAAGATTTTATTTATTTATTTGACAGAGAGAGACATAGCGAGAGAGGGAACACAAGCAGGGAAAGTGGGAGAGGGAGAAGCAGGCCTCCCGTGGAGCAGGGAGCCCGATGCGGGGCTCAATCCCAGGATCCTGGGATCATGACCTGAGCTGAAGGCAGATGCTTAACGAGCCACCCAGGTGCCCCTTGGCTCTTGTAAATAGGCTGCAGTGAACATGGTGGTACATATATCTTTTTGAGTTTGTGTTTTCACTTCCTTTGGATAAATACCCAGAAATGGTATTACTGGATCATATGGTAGTTCTTTTTTTTTTTTTTTTTGAGGAACCCCCACATTGTTTCTATATGACTGCATCAATTTACATTCCCGCAAACAGTGCATGAGGGTTTTCTTATCTCCACATCCTCTCTAACACTTGCTATTTCTTATCTTTTTAATGCTAGCCATTCTGACAGATACCAGGTCTCATTGTGGTTCTGATTTGCATTTCCCTAATGATTAGTGATGTTGAACATATTTTCATATATTCCTGTTGACCATCTATATGTCTTCTTTGAAGAAATGTCTATTCAGGTCCTCTGCCCATTTTTAATCAGGTTGTTGGTTTTTTTGCTATTCAGTTCTCTTATTTCATAGATTGCCTTTTCATTTTGTTGATAAGTTTCCTTTGCTGTGTGGAAGGTTTTTAGTTTGATGTAGTCCCACTTGTTTATTTTTGCTTTTGTTGCCTGCTGTACCTTTAAAGCTTTTAAGTATATTTAAGTGATCTCCAGAAAATGGTATGTGATAAATACTGCATTGCTCTTTCATCTCTGTTTTCTCATTACCTGATTTCTTTTAGGTTTTATTCTATAAATTACACTTCCATTTTATTAGTCTGAACTTCACACTAGGATTATAATTTTGTTATAGATTGTTTCTGTCTAATGGGTCAGAGGTTTACAGATAGCTAAGGAATAGAAGAAAGATCATATGCATGTTATGGGATGAGATGAAATATCACCTGATAGCAGATTAGTGGTTATTTCAAACCTACTTTCGTATCTCCTTGCCTGGTACCTAGGAGACACCCACTAAATGTTTGCTAACTGAACTTAAAATGTTAGATTATATCCTTGCATTTCAAAGCTGACATGGTGACTGCTGGATTACCTTTTGGGCAAGATGGATATTTCTATTTTGTAAAAAGGAAAAACAGTTTTCCAAGGAATCCATTCTGAGAAAACTGTATTTGGTAAGAATAAATATTTTGCCACAGGTTGTATACTGTAGTGTCTGACACTATATAACTATATAACTCAATGGATGAATGGATTTAAAAAGTGGAAGGACATCTGGGTAGAAGAAAAAAGATAGCTTATTCTAGGTAATTTTTTGATAGTGTCCTCTTTTTTTTTCTTAAGATTTTATTTATTTATTTGACAGAGAGAGCACAAGTAGGCAGAGAGGCAGGTAGAGAGAGGGGGGAAGCAGGCTCCTCTCTGAGCAGAGAGCCCAATGTGGGGCTCGATCCCAGGACCCCAGCCGAGATCATGACCTGAGCTGAAGGCAGACGCTGAACTGAGTGAGCCACCCAGGCACCCCTGATAGTGTCCTCTTAAGAAATCTTGTTTTCTAGGTATTTCTGAACCTAGGTGACTGTTTTTATAGCAGGTTTATATGTTGTTGGAGACTATAAATCCCAGTCAGAAAAAATGTGGAATCTAAAAAGTTGGGGAAGATCATCTTAGAACTGTATGGTTGAATAAAATGATTTGAAATATATTACTTGCCTTTCTGAACCTATGCTGTGAGAAACATTTATAAATCTATTTATTATTTCTCTGACAATTTAAAGGTAAAGTTATAAAAAAAAAAACAAAAAAAAACCAGACAAACAAAAAACTCTTAAACTGTATGTTCCAGAATTATTTTCATAGAAATTTTGGTTGGAATGCTGATCAACAATATAAGACTCTATAATAAATGATATTTGTCAGCGGTATGTACAACCAAGAAGACTTTCCAGAGTAGGAGATCTAAAGAGAAAGTCTGTTCTGGAATTGAGTAGCCTATTGATTTGGGATTTAGAAACACTTCAGTAAGCAAACATTTGTAAGATGTACATGCATGCCTTTTTATCTTCTATATAAAAGACCACTACCAGTTATCAGTACCAGGATTTTCAGTTCTAGGATGATGGCGTAACAGCAACAATATGGTCCTTCTGTTGTTATTGTACATTTTAGATGTGATACTGAATTCTGAGTATTTTTTCCTCAAATGTAATGTCCTTTATTTTTAAAGCACTTTGTTTTAATATTTATATTGTTCTGCAGTTGATAATATATCCTTAAGTGTTTGATAATTAGGTTCTGATCTTTATTTGTGGCCTCTGATAGGCTGTTATGTGGTAAATATTAAGAAACAAAATTAGTGAAATGGGTGAAGGTGGTCATAAGGTAAAAAAAGAATTTTAGCAAGCTTTTCTTGAAACAAAAGAATATACTAGAACCTAATTTCAGTGGATTATTTAATTTCTAAAATACCTTGATTCACCTTCAAAAGTTGGTGATTGTTTCAATTGGTAGTAAAAGCCCCTTAATAGAGCTATATACATTAGGACAAATGTGGGAACAAAAGCTGTAGTTAATAGTGTCAAAAGATATGAGTAGAGCAAACATTATTGTAGCAAAAATAAGGAATCTAAGAAGAACTGTCCTATTCTGAAGTCCAGTAGCCAGGAGGTTTTGTTCATGCTGTGTAGGCAATGGTTCTCTGAGTTGCATTTCTATACTGCCCCATTGAGTTCTTTCATGAGATGAAATTCAACATGTTCAAAAGTCTTACCTACCCCCAAAGTTCTTTTTCCTCTTTTGGCCCTTTCTATTAATGGTTCCACCATTCTGTCATTACCCAAAATGAGGAATCCTTCATGACACCTTTCCTTTGTCATATTTGTTTGAAAATGCCCTTAATTTCCCTTATTCCCTTCCCACCTGTTCCCTTCCATACTCTTTTCTTTTTCTCAATATCTTACCTATCTCTCTCTTTTTATTTTTAAGATTTTATTTAGGGACGCCTGAGTGGCTCAGTCGGTTAAGCGCCTGCCTTCAGCTGATGTCATGATCTCAGGGTCCTGGGATTGAGTCCTGCGTCAGGCTCCTTGCTCATCGGGGAGCTTGCTTCTCCCTCTGCCTGTTGCTCTCCCTCCTTGTGCTCTCTCTCTGACAAATAAAATCTTTAAAAAAAAAAAAAAAGATTTTATTTAGTTAGTTATTTGAGAGAGAGAGTGAGCGTGAGCAGCGGGGAGGGTCAGAGGGAGAAGCAGACTCCCCACTGAGCAGGAAGCCCAACGTGGGGCTCCATCCCAGCACCCTGGGATCGTGACCTGAGCCAAAGGCGGACAGCCAACCCACTGAGTCACCCCGGCGCCCCTCTTACCTGTCTCTTAATGTCATTCTAAATGCTGCCTTAATATTTCAACTTCTTAATATTTTTCAGCTATATTCTTAATATTCTCACCTTTAAATAACATCTCTGGTTTCACTACTTTATGATGTTATGATTACCCCTTTACTTTTTAGTTTGGTAATATTACTAGACTATACTTCTTGGAGTTAAGTACTATATACTTTACATTTTTGCATCCTCTCCAGTGCTTACTGTTTAGTGCATGTCACATACTTATCCACATTGCCTTACCTGCTATTCCAAAATCCAAAATGCTCTGAAAACCTAAAGTGGGGGCGGAGGGGAGAAAGAAGAGAAGATGGGGAAATAGAGAGTGAAAGTGTTGGTTTGGTATTACACTCATTTGGCAGCAAAACCTGACTTGACATGACTTGAGGCTATTCATATTGTACTATAAAAAATTGCTGTGTTTTACAGGTTAGAAGCAGTTTCATATGGTTCACCCTTAACCTTTACTTAACCTACTTAATGTGAATGTGTACAGATTTTGATACAAAAATATTAACGGGTGTTATGGGAGTGTGTTTGTAAGCAAATGAATTATTAATATGTATCTTTATGATGCAGAATGTCTAAATTCTGGTGATGTCTGAGGATCTAAAAGTGTGGCATCCAAAAGACCTGATTTACCTGAGGCAATAGCAATTTATATTTGTCTAGGTGTAATAATAATTAGTGCTCCCACTTTCATTTTCAAAGAGCCCTGATTTGGACAATAAATTACATGGCTACCCCACCTTAGCAGATACCCCTGCAACAGATGCCTTTGTTATGGTAGGTGGCTTTAATTAAGAATGAAAGCATCCATTCTCATGATGTTATTGTTGTTCTGGTCAGAGTAAGATACATAGTTAAGATGCATAAAACTCTTCTAATACATCTGATTATGTGTCAGGAGACAGGGTGCACTAAAAATTGTGGAAAAGTTGAGATCTCTCTTTTCCTTAGTTGAGCATACTTGGTAAAAAAAAAAAGTCACTGGCAAGAAAGGCAAAGAAGGTGCTATGATGGACACAGTAGAAGTGTCTTTTGATGTAAAAAAAAAAGGCAACTACAGTTTCAGAGTTCTTTAATCATAGTGTATGTAAAGATAGCTTTTTTCCTAAAATTAATCTGAGATGTAGTATCCTAGCTGGATAAAAATGAGGTACTTCCTTGAGGGTGAAACTAATTCAAGGCAATGTTTTATATAATAATCTCACAACTCTTCTGTTCACAATCCTAAACACAACCTAAGATTCTTAAAACTGTATTGACTCTGGAACATCCACATTAATGAATATTACTGGTCCTTGAGACCAGCAAGAACAAGGATATCCCTGAATGCGCGCTCTCTGCCTTTTTGGGGTTTATTTGGTTAGGGAGTGATATAAGGGCCATATATGCTTATGGAGCAGGGCACTCCGTGGTGATAAAGGGTAGGGCAAAGAATGATTAAAATGAGATCTGGGACCTGCTTTTAAAAGTACCAGATAGCAATAGGAATCCCAAAAAATTGGGAAAAATAAAAGATATAACCCTTATTTTGGCTTTTTTCCCCTTCTCTGTACATGTTAAGATTCTACTGGTAGTGATGCCTGAAAAAAGCTGTATCTTCTTTGATCTTTATTTTCTTGGAAATCTGTTCCTTTACAGTAGCATTTGAAATGTGTTGAAATGCCATGGTACCCAATCGAGTTTTCAGTAACTGGAGATAGGCTGCGTTTGTTTTTGTTTTAAGTTTATTTATTTTTTTAGTAATCTCTTCATTCAATGTGAGGCTCAAATTCATGACCCTGATATCAAGAGTCACATGCTCTTTTGACTGAGCCAGCCAGCCGCCCCAGACTGTTTTTTGATATTAATCTCTTTGGCCCTTTCAGCTAAAATACAGAGAACCCATTTTGTTATTTGGGAAAAGTGGCATTATTTTAAAAATTGAAAAGCCTAGAAACAGTTTATGTGAAACATGTGAAAGGAAAATTATTTTTCTTCTAACTTTAATGAAGCTTTTTTTTTTCTCTCAGCAGAATGAAATTAACACTGAAAATATGGTCAGCTCCATAGATGCTGACAAACAAGATTCTCCTCCTCCAAAACCACCAAGGACCCGCAGGTATTGTACGTCACATTTTCTTTGAAAGGATATTTTATTTTACTCACTGTTAATTAAAACAAATTCTGAATATTTCCAAGTTATTTTTATAACTTTTATCACTCTTTTGTCTCGGGTATAGCATGTGTATGGCAACTGATTTGTTACTGATACACTAAAAATTTTGTTTCACTTTGGGTAAAACCTCAGTACACTGTACCAGAGCAGTGAACATGACCGTGAATTGACAATAGCTCATATTTTGGTATGTAGTACAGTTAAATTTTTAAATATTCTAAAGATTTCAATTTTTGCATAATGACTAAAAAAGTAATATTGTCAAAAACTATGCACATTGAAGAAATTATTTAATAACATTACTAGCAAAGATGAGTTTCTCTCAGCATTTTATTACTTTCATACCAATCTCATTTATAATGAAGTCAAGATATATTCTTGTACCCCTTTGTATTTCTTTTTTCTTTTTTTTCAAGATTTTATTTATTTATTTGAGAGAGAGAGAAAGAGAGAGCACACTAGACGGGGGAGGGTCAGAGGGAGAAGCAGATTCCCTGCCGAGCAGGGAGCCCGATGTGGGACTCGATCCAAGGACTCCAGGATCATGACCTGAGCCGAAGGCAGTTGCTTAACCAACTGAGCCACCCAGGCGCCCTGTATTTCTTTTTTCTTTTAGGGCAGCTGCTAGGTCAGTTACATGGTAGTATAGAAAGAATTTAGATAGACTCAGAAAGCTTTAGTTTCAAGTCCTTTTCACCCATTTACTACCTTTGAGGTTGTGAATAAGTCACTTAATTGATCCTGGGTTGGTTTTGGTTTTTTTGTTTAAGTATTGTCCTAGGGATTAAATGAAATAAACTATGTGAAAATGCTAAATATGGGACTTGGCACATATTAGATTTCCATTACATGTTAGTTTTCCCATGACAGTGTAGAATTAAAATGGAGTCAATTGAATTACTTTTAAAAGGAGGCACAGTAGAACATCTGTAATAATAAACTGTTAGAATGGCTTATACAGGGTCTTGTCTTGAGCAAAGAGCTGCCCAAATGGACTGGCCTTCCCTCAAAGTAGGACTTCTTTTATATAGGATTCACTAATTTTTTTTCCCCCTTAAAAGTTAGCTAGATGTTGGGGTGCCTGGGTGGCTCAGTTGGTTAAACGTCTGCCTTCAGCTCAGGCCATGATCTCAGCTCCTGAGATCGAGCCTCGCATCAGGAGCCTGCTTCTCCTTCTCCCTCTGCCTCGCCCCTCTGCTGGTGTGTGTGCACATGCACGCTCTCTCTCTCTCTCAAATAAAGAAATAAAATCTTTTTTTTAAAAAAAGTAATCACTAGCATTGATATAACATCTACTATATATGTTTTCTTCCATTTTTGTATTCTCTATTCATTCTGTAGATAGTCAGTGATATGTCAAAACAATGAGTGATGTCATGAATTCATTAATTTTTACAGTAATCTTGATCACAGGGATATTAATATAGCTGCTTTCCAAAGGAAATTGACCTGCATAGGCTAGCAGAGTTCAGCTGAGAACACAAATCTCTTATCTTCCAGTCCAATAATGCTTTTTTCATTATATGGTGTTACCTTCCTAGAAAAAAGCAGAGTAGTGAAGGTTTTTGTTTTTAAAGTGTTATGTTCTAATTTTTTGGTTGTCATTTCCTTTACTCCCATACTCTTTTCACCCCATATGGAATCTAGCCTAAATTATTGTAAGAAAAGTAATTTTCTGATTTTAAATAAAACATCAATTTGGAAAAAAAAATTATAGAGTCACTCATCTTAAGACTTGGTCAAATAAATGTAAAATTTTTTTATTATAAAGTCCAAGTATCTTTGTGTGAAATTCTGGGCCTCAGAGTATAGCTTCAGTCTATCTTTTTAGCCTTTTTTTTCACTATTTCTCCAAACTGTTGTGTTCATTGTTCTATCCTCTTCTGGCACTGGTACAATGCCTACTATGTGGTAGGTCTTGAATAATTTGCTTTGTTTAAGGGAAAAATATGCCATCCTCAAATAGATGAGATTAAAACCAATATTTACAGTAAGAATTATGCAAGTTAGATCATATCTATTCAGTGGAATTTTTTTACATTGGAATATCTAGTAAAAAATGTGAGTGTTGGATACTATAGTGGAAAATCCGTATGTTGTATATATTTTTTTGTGGCTGGGCTTATAATAAGTGCTATTTAAGTGTTTTTTTTTGTTTTGTTTTGTTTTTATTAAAGATTTTTTTTTTTTTTTATTCATGAGAGACAGAGCGAGAGAGAAAGGCAGAGGGAGAAGCAGGCTCCCAAGGAGCAGGGAGCCCGATGCGGGACTCGATCCCAGGACCCTGAGATCATGACCTGAGCCAAAGGCAGACGCTTAACCATCTGAACCACCCAGGCGCCCGCTATTTAAGTGTTTTAAGCCTTGTTCCAACCTTAAATCAAGAAAGGATAAGGAAAAAAAAAATCTGTTAGTGTAATTACCAATCACATTTGAGTAGCCACAGGAACCCACAAAGGGACACAAGGAAACGTTTGGGGTGATGGATATATGTTTATTACCTTGATTGTCGTGATAGTATCATGGGTATATGCACATGTCCAAACTCATCAAATTTATACATTAAATATATTGGTTTTGTATATCAACTATACCTAAGTAAAGCTATTCTTTTAAGTGTGAGTACTAAAAATATATTTATTGTGTACATATCAACATCCTGCACAGACTGCTGCCAAAAGCACTTAGAAGATTATAGGTTAAGGGGTGCCTGGGTGGCTCAGTCAGTTGAGCATCTGACTTTTGATTTCAGCTCCGGTCAGGATCTCACAGGTTGTGGGATCAAGTCCTGTGTCAGGCTGCAAACTCAGCAGTCAGCTTGAGATGCTCTCCCTCCCTCTGGCCCTCCTCACCCACATACGTACACATGCGCACGTGCTCTCTCTAATAAATAAATCTTAAAAAAAAAGATTACTGGTTAAATAAGGCTACTTGAACACATTTAACTCTGGTCCCTCCCTAAACTTCCTAAAATTATAGTGAAGGAATATAAAAATGTATAAAGATTAAAAAAACAAAATTGGAGAGGGGATAGTATCAGATGTCAACAAAATTGTGGAAAGTGGAAAGCACATCGACCAGTGAAAAGGGACTTAACAGAGAAAGCTAAAATTTGCTTTCCTGTAGGTGGGGGAAGCCAATAAGAAGCAACATGATTTTCCAGAGAACCCCCAGAAAAGCTCAGAAATTGGAAGTCCTCCTTAAGGCTGGTGTGTAGGATGGGACTAAAAACAAGGAGAGTACCTAAGTACTCTTTATATAGAGTACTTAGAGTATTAATGAGTTCATGACACCAGATTCCTTACATTAAATTGAGCAAATGACTGCTTCTCCCACATTTGGGCATACAAGAAGGATTTACTCTGGAGTAGTTGAACCAGGGAGTCTCTGGATTCAAGGACAAGTGCCTTACTGAAAATAGGAATTTGTATGCTAAATGGTAAGATCCTTCAGCTCCCTTGCTCCCAGATTGCTGGTGGGAGACAGAATCTCTCTCTTGAAAAACTAACCAATCCAAGAGATGAAATGTATACTTATTCATGGTGTGGCCTACCAGTGATTTGCAAGGGCTGTATTCAGTCACCATGAAGTTAGACGACAACTAAGCCACAAGTCTCAAGCCCTCCTCCTTACATATATGTAGACATCTTCCAGTCATTTTTAGTACTCCATTCTTTTTTTTCCCCAAAGATTTTATTTATTTGAGAGAGAGCGAGCGAGAGAGTGAGTGAGTGGGGATGGGGTGGGGCAGAGAGAGAGGGAGAAACAGACTCCCTGTTGAGAGGGGAGCCCGATGTGGGGCTTGATCCCAGGACCGTGAGATCATGACCTGAGCCACCAGGCACCCCCTGCCTCCTATATATAGTTCCTAAGAAGCAGCTGAGGAAATGGCCACCAAAACAAGGAAGTGTAACTAGAAAAAGTAATATGGGACCTGGAAAACAGAGTGACAGAGGAGAGAACGTCATCAGCTCTGTGGTGGCCTAGGTAGTCGGTGGTATACACTGGAGCACGAGGCCCAAGGATCTGAGAGGAACATCTGTGGTATTGGTAATTACCGAAGTGCCTGATTGGTCAATTGAGAGGAGGTGTACAAATCTGCAAGAAAGTTCGAAGAAGGGCTGAATTACTGATGATACATAGAGAACTAAGCCATCTGAAACCCAAGGCAATTTTAGAGAAAAACAAGAAGTTGTATCAGAAAATATAGGAAATCATGGTGTCATCTGTAAGAATAATATCTATAGTCATAAGATTGAGCTAGCTAAAAATTACAACAGAACATTATTGAGAAGATAGAAAAGATACATAGGAAGACAATGGAGAATGTGTGAAGTAGATCAAGAAATAGTAGTTTATGCATTTTGAAATATTTTGAAATAATGGAGATGAATCTTAGAAGCAGCTATTTAAGAAAGTTGAAAGGTCATGTGTGGATAGCTGAAGGGCTGTGGAAGGAGACTGCTGTTTTTCATTAAAATTCTTGTATTTTTTTTTTAATTTTTTAAGATTTTATTTATTTATGACAGAGAGAGACAGCGAGAGAGGGAACACAAGCAGGGGGAGTGGGAGAGGGAGAAGCAGGCTTCCCGCAGAGCAGGGAGCCCGATGTGGGACTCGATCCCAGGACCCTGGGATCATGACCTGAGCCAAAGGCAGACGCTTAACAACTGAGCCACCCAGGCGCCCCTAAAATTCTTGTATTTGTAAACAGTGTACATGTATTACCTTATTAAACATTAAATTTTGTTTGACAGTGTATAATTTTTTATTCATAAAAGGATGACCATTCTTATGATGCCCTTTTCTTAAATGTTTTTCAGTTGCCTTGTAGAAGGGGATGCCAAGGAAGAAATACTTCAGCCACCAGAACCTCATCCAGTGCCACCCATCTTGACACCCTCTCCCCCTTCAGCTTTTCCAACAGTCACTACTGTGTGGCAGGACAACGACAGATACCATCCAAAGCCAGTGTTGCACATGGTTTCATCAGAACAACATTCAACAGACCTCAACAGAAACTATAACAAATCAGCAGAACTTCCAGGGAAAAATGAATCAGCTGGTGAACAGGTGGATAAAAAATTGGAGCGAAATTTAAGTTTTGAGATTAAGAAGGTCCCCCTCCAAGAGGGACCAAAAAGTTTTGATGGGAACACACTTTTGAATAGGGGACATGCCATTAAAATTAAATCGACTCCACCTTGTATAAGTGATAAAGTCTCTAAGTCACAGGAATTGAGTTCAGGGGATCTAAAAGTTGATGATGTTTCTCAGAATTCTTGTGCGGACTGCAGTGCAACACAGTCAAATAAGGTTCCACTTACTCCACCAGAAGAGTCACAGAAGAAGTCAGGCACACCTCCAAGGCCAGACCGCTTGCCTCTTGATGAGAAGGGACCTGTAACGTGGTCTTTTCACGGACCTGAAAATACCCTACCCAGGCCTGATTCATCTGAAGGCAAACCCTCAGATACCCACTGTCAAGCAATGAAAACTGTGAGTCTAACACCAAGCCCCACAACACCGATTGAAACCCATGATACTGCAAATCAGCATAACAGTTCCCCTCTGTTCAGAGCACCCCTCAGTTTCACTAATCCTCTTCACTCTGATGACTCGGACTCAGATGAAAGAAACTCTGATGGTGCTGTGACCACGAATAAAACTAGTATTTCAACAGCAAGTGCCACAGTTTCTGCTGCCACTAGTACTGAAAGCATTTCTACAAGGAAAGTATTGCCAATGTCCATTGCTAGACACGATATAGCAGGAACAGTACATTCAGGTGCTGAAAAAGGTAATAACAACATTATCTAACACTTCAGTATTTTTACTGTGTGCCAGTCACTGTTCTAAGCAACTTCTCTGTATTAATTCATTATGTTTTATTCCACATTTCGCTCTAGCGCCTACAGCAAAATTTCATTATTTTACATACTTTTTTTTAAAGTAAGCTTTTATTTATTGTTACCTTAATTTGGTTAATTGCATTACTAGGTTTTGTGTTTCCCAAGTATTTCAGTTGTAACTGAAAATGTTTGTGCTTTTTTTTTCTCCTGTGTTATAGTTTTTAGTATTTTATGTGGGTCAAAGATTTAGCTGACTGAATAATTAGAAATAATTTAGGGAAGATAGAATTGCTTAAAGTAACAGTGACATAAATAATGTGGAACGGCTTGATTGGCCATTTAATTTCATCCACGTTTATCACATATACTAGTTCATCTTCTTTTTATGCTTGTTTAACTACAAAATACTTTTAAAAAAAATTCTCTTCACAAAATACTTGCAAATGCAGCTACTTTCAACTCAGAGATTAACCAAGAAGCAAAATTGCAACTACTCAGCAGAATACAGGAAATTTAATTCAGTCAGTAGTGAATGTGATATATCCTCCTTATCTAAGTCATTGATACTATTATTTAATTAATGACTCTCTTTTTAAAACTGTCTTAGGGGGGCGCCTGGGTGGCTCAGTCGGTTAAGCGACTGCCTTCGGCTCAGGTCATGATCCTGGAGTCCCGGGATCGAGTCCCACATCGGGCTCCCTGCTCGGCAGGGAGTCTGCTTCTCCCTCTGACCCTCCTCCCTCTCATGCTCTCTGTCTCTCATTCTCTCTGTCTCAAATAAATAAATAAGATCTTTAAAAAAAAAATAAAATAAATAAAAAAAATAAAACTGTCTTAGGTTTTCAAGGTAATATGTGCACTTGGTTCCCAAGATGTATTATTGGTTGTTGAAACTCATCTTTAATCTACTAAAATAATCCTGGCTGCCTTCTTAAACAGGCCATAAAGTTGACAGCAAATGTAATAAACACAAAAGCTATTACGGGTAGATTAATTATCAGTGGTCATTTACTTGTCAGTGAACTTTGATCATGACTTACATAGGCTGGTATTTACAAAGTACAGGCAAAATAAGTACTGTGAACTTGAAAGATAACTTTCTTTTTGTATTTCTGACCTAGTAAGTACCACCCATACTATGGTGCTTTTATTTTCCCCAACTCACACATACTGTTTTTAATCCAAAGAATGTATCTGGTAGAGTAGGTGAGAATCTAAGGTAGTTTCTTAAATTTACAGGATTCTCTGTATTCTTCTGTGTGTGTGTTTAAGATTTTATTTGTTTATTCCAAAGAAAGACGGGGGTGAGGGAGAAGCAGTGGGAGAGAGACAGGCAGACTCCGTGCTGAGCACAGAGCCCATGCGGGGCTCGATTTCAGGACCCCGAGATCATGACCCAAGCTGAAGCCAAGAGTTGGACACTTAACCGACTGAGCCACCCAGGTGCCCCTCTTCTGGATCTTCAGAAGATAATGGTTACCACCATAAATATTACTTTACTAGTTTGCCATAATTTAAAATTGTTAGTATCTTTTTCTTTCTCCACTTTGGAGTTTGCAAAATAACTGCCAAGTTGTAACTACGCAAGAAAATGAGTTGAAAAGAAATTTTCATTTTAGGCTTTTGTAGCATAGCAGGCATGCATCTTATGCTTAGGAAATATATTTCTTTAAACCATTAGTAGAAACAGAATTTGGTGTGAGGGCAGGGATATGATAATGCTCATTAAAAGTTATTGCTACCTGGGGCGCCTGGGTGGCTCAGTCGTTAAGCGTCTGCCTTCGGCTCAGGTCATGATCCAGGGTCCTGGGATCGAGTCCCACATCGGGCTCCCTGCTCGGCAGGAAGCGTGCTTCTCCCTCTCCCACTCCCCCTGCTTGTGTTCCTGCTCTCGCTGTCTCTCTCTCTCTGTCAAATAAATAAATAAAATCTTAAAAAAAAAAAAAAAAAGCTATTGCTACCTGACCAGTCGATGGTAACAGAAGGAGTTCTTAACTATCCTTCCACAGCATTTTGTATTTTAAAGTCCTCCTGCTGTACACCAGCTCACTTGTATTCTCTCCATTTTATTTGTATGTCAAGGCAAAGATAGCTATAAATGTGATTTGTGGTTTCTTTTTGCCCTGTTCTAACAACGCTAAATGAGTTTGGTATTAACTGAAAACTGTCCTGTGTAAGTATTCTGTGCTGTCAGACACTTGACTACAAGCAATCCTATTTTTAATGTTTAGTTATTTACTTTATAGATGAACCATTGGCATAGGAATTAGTTTTTGTTTGCTTGTTTTAGAACTTGTTAAGTAATTACACAGAATAATTGTGTTTTGATACCTAAAACAACCTTTTACGTAAGTTACTACCTGACAAAAATTCCTGGCTATGAATTCTGATTTTAATACTGACTCAGGCCTCCTGAAAGATTTCTCAAACTTGTCTACACTAAGTCCCCATTCAGCGTATGATTTGCAAAAAAGCCTGTGTAAAATGTGCAGTCTCTGGTTGGATAACCTTTAAAACAGCAGTTCATAACATAGGAAAGGCGATACAGAAATCCAAGAATAACATGGGGCTGAGAAGCAAGAGCTGCAGTTAGAAAATAAAAGTCTTTAAGAATAAAGACTGTCAAGAGAAAAAGAGGTATAGAGTTTCTGGAAAGGTAACCTGATATTTAATGTAAACTAAGCAAGACTGCCTTTCCTGATTTGTTCAATTATGAAATGGCACCACAATGTGAGATTATGCATCCCTTCCTTCCAACAGCCATCTCTTCACTTGTGAGCTGTTAGTAATATGAGGGCAAGGGGAATAATGGTGATGGCTCTAGTTATTACCAGTAAATGAAGTAGATTTTCTTTAGTGGCTTAACTTTACATGCAAGAGAGAGTTCCAGTACCAGTGATAGACATATAAAGTAATGGACTGGAATTCTTTTCTCAGCAGGACCTAGAGGCTGTATTTTCTTGGGTCTTTAGTTAAATAAATATAGGAAGAACACGAGCAATCATACCTGGCTCATGCTAGTTGAAAATTAAAAAGGCTTTGCTGATTTTTCAGTCTCTTTAATACATAGCCTGTCAGATGATACAGTTAAATAGCAAAGTATTATGGCAAGATTGTTCATTTTTTAAATCTTTTTTTTTTTTTTAAAGGTTTTATTTATTTATCTGAGAGAGAGAATGGGAGACAGAGAGCATGAGAGGGGGAGGGTCAGAGGGAGAAGCAAACTCCCTGCCGAGCAGGGAGCCCGATGCGGGACTTGATCCAGGGACTCCAGGATCATGACCTGAGCCGAAGGCAGTCACTTAACCAACTGAGCCACCCAGGTGCCCCAAGATTGTTCGTTTTTTAAAGAGAACAGTTGTCAGGCCCAGACAAAATAATATAGGATTCTTACATTTCCCTTTCTTCACCCCATCCTTCCTAAGCTGAGAGTCCATACACGGAATTATATCCTCATATTTGCTTTCTCTACCGCCAGTGAAACCTCAAAAGATCTAATACAGGGGTGCCTGGATGGCTCAGTCGGTTAAGTGGCTGCCTTCAGCTCAGGTCATAATCCGAGGACTCTGGAATCAAGCCCCACGTCGGGCTCCCTGCTCAGCCAGAAGCCTGCTTCTCCCTCTCCCTCTGCCTGCCGCTCCCCCTGCTTATGTGCGTGCGTGCTCTCTCTCTCGCTCTCTGTCAGATAAATAAAATCTTAATCTATGTCGTAAGCTAACTGATGAGGCTCACATCGTGAATTATCTTTTCCAGGAGTGAATTTTGTTTTTACTGGTGAAAAGCTTTAATATAGCTTCAGTCAGTATTCTCAGAGCAGTTTATATGCCGCTGTTCAGAAGATTTTAGGCATTTAAATAAATGACCATTCAAAAAAAATTAATAGATTAATATATATTAGAAAAATAACACTTCAAATTTGTTATTTGTCATTACTGTTTGAAATATGACCCAAAAAAATAAGTAAATAAAATGTGACTAAAGGACATAGTTAAAAATGAGTGGGGTTTAAAAAGCAAATAGGACAGATGGTGGTATATAGTATGGCAAAATTCATGAAAGGAGTTAAACAATTGATTCCAATTTGGGAAACACTGGCTTAAGTCAGGTGGCCCAAGCTTTCCTTCGTGGACTCAAAGCATCATCTGCAAGCCTAACAGAGAGGTCCCTTGCTTTCTACTGAAGTCTGCGTTCAGACTCAGAAGCCAGAGTGATTACTGTCTGCAGGGTGTCAAAGTCAGGAGAGAGTCATTTTCTCTGTGTGGTGGTGATGGAGTTCATTCCGCTTTGCTCATTAAGCTTCATAATTTTCTTGATAATGAGTCAAGCAGTAAGGATTTCTTGTTCGTTTTTTGCATTTTTAAAAACTGGTTCTCTTATATACTTGTGGAACTGATTTTTAGAATGTCAAAGTTTTCTTGTTTAGATAACAAATTCATTCTTTAATGAGTTAATATTCTTTAACAAGTTCATAATTTGTCTGAATTTTATGTATTTAATATAGATGTTGACGTTAGTGAAGATTCACCTCCTCCCCTACCTGAAAGAACTCCTGAATCTTTTGTATTAGCAAGTGAACATAGTGAGTGTCTCTTCTGCTTTTACATACTTCATACTGTAATAATAAACTCCAAAAAACATGGCTGATTTTAGTCTAGTTGCTACTGAATTGCATAATTAAATTCAAAAGGTTTGAACTGATACTGACAAATGTTTTTAATTCCTTGTATGAAAAATACTTTTTATTTTTTTTAAATACTTGAAAATATTTTTTATTTGCTAAGATTGCTAAAATGGCTGCATTTATGTTACTTAAATTTAGTTAAATTCAATTATAATTGTATTTGCAAGTTGTTGTCTTTTCATTTCACTAAATATAGTACTTATTTATGAAAAGGCATTAATTGCTTCACTGGGTGCCAGTTTAGGTAAGTAAATATTTAAATTGGGTTGTAGGTGGGCATCAATTCAGTTGGTGTTAATTGAGGGAGACTTTAGGCCACATGAGTATCAGTGAGAACTGGGAGAAAGTGATCAAAGCCTTCATAATATACTTCTCTGTCTCTTCTTAAAAAAGAGTACAGAAACAGCTTTAACATATTTATAGTGTCTCATGCTCAGTGGGGTCCTCCCTAGCCTTATCTGAGTTACATTTTATCAGTATTACATTAATTTCAACTGATTTCAAGACTGTTAAAAACAGTGAAGCCATATATACTACAATACTACCAGATGAGTACATCTAGGTCTGTCACGTGTAGATTACAGTGAGCTTACAGTAACAATAAACTCTGATGACTGAATTAATTAAACTTTAAGAAAGGAAACTTAAGGGGATTTTCTTGAATTAATAGAGAATATTTTATGGAAGTGATAGTTTCTAAAAGATTTATAGGGTCTGTTTTTGTATCGTACTTTAATGCAAGAAATTCAAGAATTAAACATGTTAATTGTAAGATTTCATTTTTCTCAGATACACCTGTGAGATCTGAATGGAGTGAACTTCAAAGTCAGGAACAGTCTGAACAAAAAATATCTGAAGTGAGTCCTTTTGGGATTGGAACAGCTATATACTCAGTATTTTTGCTCTTTTGTTTTGTTAATTTCTTAGTTTGTTACAAAAACTGTTACCTTAAGACTATTAATCACCATTTCTTTTGCTAAGATTTTAGATGAAAAGTCTATATAAAATGTGATAGGAAATTTTTTAAAAGGGCAACATGAGATACATATGACCATGACTTCAGAGTGTCATTTTTCTAGACTGTTTTTGAAATTTGTAAATTATGCCATGTTTTAAATCATTTTGGAGGTGTGACTAGAACAGGAGTTACATTTTCAGGGTCATAATACTTTCTTAGATTTTGTTCCTCCCACTATAACACTAAGTACATAGTCCCATCCTTTGGTTTGTCTGGTCACAAGAGGTTTCCTTTCACATTCAGGAAATGTTTGGTAGCTAAATATATTAGTCATGGGAAATACCATTGTTCATCAACATTAATATTTTTCATATTTCCTCCATATTTTAATATCCCCCAAATTAGGGTACATCTTACAATTGATTAAGAAACATAATATACTTTACTTGGCACATAAAATAGTGGTAACCTATACTAACGATGTTATGTCTTATGAATATGGTAGAGGACTGGCAAAATGGAGTTGTATGGTCCTTTGTGTAGTAGCTCCTGCATTTTCAGTTTCCATCTAGAAGGAAGAAATAGTTACCCTGTCTTTTTCATCTCAGTATAAAATACCATAACATTTAAAAATTTTAAGCCTAATTGAAAACACCATTGTTTTCTTTCCCTTTGACACTGAGAATTTTAGTAGATCTTGCTTTCTTGGGATATATACTCAGACCAAATTTTCTATTATTTGTTATAAAAGGGATATACTGTAATAGCTATTAAAATGTCTTCCTTTTAGGGCTTGATAACCTCTGGAACTGAAAAATATGGTAAGTTAGATTTTGTTCCTTTTTGTTAATAGATTACATAGATTAATCTCCATAAAATAGCATGTCTCATGGTGTACTGAACCTGAACTATGCAGTATAATTCTTTTAAATTAATTACTGTATCAGATATTATTAATCTGGGAAGTAACAACATTTATTCTTGGTAGTTACAGGCTAATGGAGAAAACATTATTTTAAAAAATATTTTTCTGTGTTTTAATCTCTGTTGTTTATAAAAACACTTAGAATCTAGATCTGACAGTGATTTGAATAAATGTCCCAAATTCATCTAGGTTATTGAACGAGGTCCCTAAAAATCAGTTGTTTGTAATTCTTCCTTTTAGCACTTCTACATTTGTGAAGACCAGTAAGATTATGTAGCTCAGCCCCGTGTTATAATGCCAAGTTAGAAAATTTTTCTGCCACATTTCTTTTATTATCATGGTAAAATACATCAAGTTATTATTAATTCCTATAAGTCAGTGACCATGAAAGCAGCTCATCAGACATTCTAGCCTATACAATTCCCCCAATTCATCTGTCATCGCTGCCCTTGCCCTCCCTTCTACTTTAGCTGCCCCTTCCCTGCATCTTTGCCTAACGGGGCTCCATTCCCTCTCATAAATTCTTACTACTCTTTGTCTCCTTTGCTGGGGCAACGTGTCATAAGGAAAAGAACAGAAGCTTTAGAGTCAAGCCCACCTGGTTTGGAATTCCATTTTTACCATTTTACTTAACTATGTGACTTAAGTCACCTCATTTTAGCCCTGTTTTGTTTTTGTTTTTGTTTTTCCTCTGTGAAATGGAGGTAATAATAGCACCTGCCCTGGAGCATTGTTGTGAGGAGTTAATCAGATCACATTCATGGAATATCAGCACTGTGCTCCGCACGTGATAGGCACTCAAATGGAAGCCAGGCTATTGTTACTGTCTTTATTAGTACTGCCGATATTGCTGGATCCCTGGGCCCTTTATTTCTTAATGTATGCTAACTCCTTTCGGGATTCTCTTGTCTAGCCAGTCTAGACACTGCCCTCCATTACTCTAGTCATACTCAAAATTAACCTCCACTTTCTTGCTCCTAACTCGCATACCATTTTATTTTATCCCTTGAAACTCCTGAATACTGCTGAGGAACATCATTCCGCTTTACAGATTGAGCCTACAACTCTAGATCTTCATCCATAGTTGGGCCCTTAGCTTTGCTTGGTTATCTTATATGCTCTAGTTGGTATCCTTTCTATTTTCCTTGAATTTTCTAAATCTTTTTTTTTTTTTTAAGATTTTATTTATTTATTAGAGCGAGAGAGAGAGAGAGCACAAGCAGGGGGAGTGGCAGGCAGAGGGAGAAGCAGGCTTCCCACTGAGCAGGGAGCCCGATGCGGGGCTCGATCCCAGGACCCTGGGACCATGACCTGAGCCAAAGGCAGAGCTTAACCAACTGAGCCACCCAGGCATCCCAAATTTTCTAAATTTTTAATTTCTTCTGGGCAACACTCTCGGGTCCCCTCCCTCTTTGGGAGCTTTGTACTATCCCTCAGTAAACTTCGCTTTGCTGCCCACCAAAAAAAGAGTAAGTAAATAAATAAAAATAAACCTTTTAATTTCTTCTGAAATCATCAGTCCTACTCTTACTCAGTAGATGACCTTTTACTTCACTGAGAAAATTGAGGCCTTTTGACTGGATCATCATTTCTTTCTAGAAGCCAGTCCTGAAACCACTAGTTTCATCGCCATGCCTCTCCTCTCTGTCCCCATTGCTCTCTACATCATTTTACTATAAAACTTACCACACCAGTATAATAATAATGTGCTTGTCAGTCTCTCCTACTAGACTAGGCCTCGGGTTCTTTTTGTTCTGACCTTGAGCTGAATGAATAATTTTTAGGTTTTTCAAGAGTTGTTTAGGGGTCTCTGGCTGGCTCAGTTGGTAGAGCATGGGATTCTTGATCTCAGGGTCATGAGTTTAAGCCCCACTTTGGGTGCAGAGCTTACTTTAAAAAAAAAAGTTGTTTAAAAACAAAGAAACAAAAATCAATGAAGAATATGTGGCAGAGACTGTACGTGGCTTGCAAAGCCTAAAATAGTTATTCTCTAGCCCTTTATAGAAAAAGTTTGCTGACCCCTGTCTAAACTATAAGCACTTAAGGACAAGGATCTTGTATTCTTTGACTCATATTCCAAGTTTCCATAAAAGTTTAACAAAATTTCTCATATTACTAATCTTAGGCATCAGTAATTAAAGAAGTAAACTAAAATTTAAGTGATGTAAAACTTTTTTTTTTAAGATTTTATTTATTTATTTGACAGAGAGAGAGACAGCGAGAGAGGGAACACAAGCAGGAGGAGTCGGAGAGGGAGAAGCAGGCTTCCCGCCGAGCAGGGAGCCAGATGCGGGGCTCGATCCCAGAACCCTGGGATCAGCCGAAGGCAGATGCTTAACAACTGAGCCACCCAGGCGCCCTGATGTACAACTTTCAAAGAAAAGAATTACGTTAGAAGCTGGTAGTCCAGGGGCGCCTGGGTGGCTCAGTCGTTAAGGGTCTGCCTTCGGCTCAGGTCATGATCCCAGGATCCTGGGATTGAGCCCCACATCGGGCTCCCTGCTCAGCGGGGAGCCTGCTTCTCCCTCTCCCACTCCCCCTGCTTGTGTTCCCTCTCTCGCTGTGCCTCTGTCAAATAAATAAATAAAATCTTTAAAAAAAAAAAAAAAGCCAGTAGTCCATTAATTAACTATGAACTTGATTGTTGTTGATTTCCATATAATGCATCTCACTTGAAATTATTGCCTTAGGACATTGGCACATAGTACAACTACCTTAAGGAAATATAAAATGGCAAGATTGAGGTTTATTAAATTAAGAGCATAAGGAGAATCCATACATTGCAGAATAACTCACTGAAGATTTCTACGTGCCCTCAAGAACACCTAACACATTTTCCTGTGTTCACTACCATTGTATTTATATGCATCTGGGCCTCTGAAATTATAATACCCAAGAGAGAAGAAACTTGCTCTTTTAACTCAATACAGACATTAAAATAATTAGAGGATTCTACATATGATGCTACAAATGATGCTGATTAACAAATGGCTTTATTTTGCATTTTAGATCATCCAGCCGGAGGTATTCACACAGAGACTTGTACAGAATGTCCACCTATTTTCAGTAACAAGAAAGATCAAATATCAGAAAGTCCAACAGAGGCCACAGATATTGGTAATTTGTTTTCTAAATAATTTTAAAACTAGTTATGTAGTTAATGCTGGCAAGAATGAGAAAAGGTTATTTGCTGTCATTTCAGGCTTTCCTGAAGGCAAAGCTTATCAGACTTTTTGCTATGATTTATTCAGGTTCTTAAATGAACTACCCAAAGCAAATTAAGAGTTTTTAGTAAATTAAAATATATTTCTGGACACTGACCAATTACTGTGGTGTTTTGACTACAGGTTTTCGTAACCGCTGTGGAAGACCCAAAGGACCAAGAGATCCACCTTCAGAATGGACATGATTCAGGGAGCTAAAAGACACTTTAAATTATACTGGAAAATTCAAGTGCCACTGAAAGCCAGATTTATAGTATTCCATCTTAAAAATGTGGGACTAACAGCAGTGTAGATTGTTACCTTAGTATTTTTTTGCTGGGACCGTCTACCTGCCTTATACTACACTTAGGAAAAAGTATTACATACGGTTTATTTTGTAACTTCAAGTATTATTGCCTTAATGTCTCTTAACCCTGTTACACGCTGCTTGTAGACATGTTAATATAGTAATACTTTTATGATAAACTGAGTTTAAGGACTACTCTTTTGCTAATGTTTTATCATGTATGCATTATTTTGTATATGTACAGGGCAAGTAGGTATATAATTTCATAAAGTTGCAGTCATAAAATATTATTAACAGAAGATGTAAGAAATTTCTGCATGGTCTAAATCTTTGTGTACCTTATTTGTAAATTATTTGCCCTGAAGTTTTAGAAAATAGTTTCTGAATTTTAAAATTGCTGGATTCATGCAGCCAGCATTGCAGGTTATCAGAGATCAAAGATTGTAATAATAATACATTTTGTAAATTGTAAGCAAAAAGTTATTTTTATATTATATACTGTCTAATTGTCCACCCTAATTGCCCTTGTTTTCATCTAGTCGTGGAGATTCAGTAAGTGCCTTGGAACAATATTGAATTCTCTTAGCTCGTGTGTGTTACTTTAATATTTGAACTCAAGTGGGATTAGAAGACTATCAAAATACATGTATGTTTCAGGATATCTGACCTGCATTAAAAAAACAAAAACAATTTTACAGTGCCTCCTTGTCTTGGTTTTTCATTCCTCATTCCTAGGAAATTAGAGTTAGTATCTACCTTCCTGCTGGCTCAGCCTTTAAGTCATGAGTGTGAATGGGGTTTAAACTCTTAATTAAAGAATAGGGAGCACCATCTGCAAAAACATGGCTTCGCAACTCCCAATACTGCTACTAATTCTAATACCCTTGAGTCAGCCCTAGGCAGCCTTCTCATTACTGTCTACTAAGATCCAATAAAACACCAAGCAAACAGAGGCTAGGAAAGGGGTTTCTTCCCACTCCACAACTGGAGCATAGCTCCCCATCCGTAAGTCTCAAGTTTGAATTCTGACACCAGGGATTGAAGTTAATGGATGTCTGTATTTTCCCTCTGTATACAAAAGGAAGAAGAAATTATGAGACTAATAGGATTACTGTAGAGGAGAAAATAATACTATAATTTCTTGTCAGTTTTTCTTTAAGCTCAATGGTTTTCGTGTTCATTCCTTAGAATCTCACATTTTCCCCATATATTTTGGTCATAGGAAATGTGAATACAGGGGACCCTTGACATTCACAAGATACAGACGTCTCTGTAGCATATCATTTTCCTAAAAAAATTTAAACTGAAATAAAATAGAACTGAAAAAAATATTTAGCTCCTCTACACACTTGATGATTTGTATAATATGGTACTAAAATCATTTACAAACATTTTTTTGTTAGGAAGGAGTTGCTTGGAACATCTTCATTGAAAAATAACATGTATTCAGGGGAGCCTGGGTGGCTCAGTTGGTTAAGCGACTGCCTTTGGCTCAGGTCATGATCCCGGAGTCCCTGTGATCGAGTCCCGCATTGGGCTCCCTGCTCAGCAGGGAGTCTGCTTCTCCCTCTGACCCTCCTCCCTCTCATGCTCTCTGTCTCTCATTCTCTCTCTCTCAAATAAATAAATAAAATCTTAAAAAAAAAAAAGAAAAATAACATGTTTTCAGAAGAGTGCAAAAATCCTAATAATCATCACAAAGTTTACACACCCGTGTGAGTGTGACACCATCCAGGTTGAGCAATAGAATGGGATCTGCCACTGAGATTTCCCCTTGGATTTCTGAGATTTGTTTATTATATGAGTAGCAGTCACTTATTTTTCATTGCTATAGAATTTTGCATTGTATGCATGTACCCCAGTGTGTCCATTCTGCTATTAACAGACATTTTATTTCTGGTTTGGGAATGTTACAAATTATGCTACTGTGAACAATTTTTTTTAAGATTCATTTATTTGAGAGAGAGGGAAAGAATCCCGAGTGGACTCTGTGCCGAGCGTACTACAAACATTTTTTAATGTGTTATTTGGGGTCCATATATATATATAAATCTGTTGGATATATATCAAGAAGTAGAATTTTGGGATTACAGTGTACGCATACATATTCTCCTTTAGTAGATACTGCCAGACAATTGTCCTAAATGGTTGTTCTAATTGTTATGTATTTCTTGGTATTGCCCTTAATTTTCATTTTAGCCTTCCTAATTGGTACAAAGTGGTCCTTAATGACAAATGATGTTGAGCACATTTTATGTGCTTGTGACTGACCCACGTGGATACTTTTTTTATGAACTACCTATTTTAGTTTCAAGGAATTTGTATTTTATATCTAAGACTACATTTTTTGGTTCAGGGAATGAGGTAATTTTTCCCCCATTGATCAATCACCATTTAATGCCCTTGCTCCACTGTTACATGGTTTTGTCAGGTAGCCATTGATACCAGTTAGGTATCCACTGATCTGTTATGTTTCTAGATTTTTTTTTTCTTTGCATTCTATTGCCTATCTTTAAGATGATATATATATTTTTAAGATTTTATTTATTTTTGGGGGGCACCTGGGTGGCTCAGCCGTTAAGCGTCTGCCTTCGGCTCAGGTCATGATCTCAGGGTCCTGGGATTGAGCCCTGCATTGGGCTCCTTCCTCAGTGGGAAGCCTGCTTCTCCCTCTCCCTCTGCTTCTCCCCCTGCTTGTGTTCCCTCTCTCACTGTGTCTCTCTCTGTCAAATAAATAAAATCTTAAAAAAATTTTTTTTTAATTTTTTTGAGAGAGAGAGCGCGTGTGACCACGAGCAGGGGGAGGGGCAGAGGGAGAAGGAGACTCCTTGCCGAGCAGGGAGCCTGACACAGGGCTTGATCCCAGTTTCCCTGGATCATGGCTTGAGCTGAAGGCAGACACTTAACTGACTGAGAACCCAGGCGCCCCTAGGATGATACTTTATTTATTTAAAGATTTTATTTATTTGACAGAGAGAGACACAGGGGGAGCGGGAGAGGGAGATGCAGGCTTCCCGCTGAGCAGGGAGCCCGATGCGGGGCTCGATCCCAGGACCCTGGGATCATGACCTGAGCCGAAGGCAGACGCTTAACGGCTGAGCCACCCAGGCGCCCCTAGGATGATACTTTAAATTCTGCCTTTTTCTAGCTTTATTAGCTTTCTCTTACGGGTTAATTTTTATATTGCCTGGGACACTTGGTAGAACAGTTACTCATTTTTCTTCTTCCATGTAAAGCATATGGTAAGCTCATTTGCATCTGAGATAAATCATTGCCAAATCCATCCTGCCTCTTTATCCAAAACTTCTACCTTGTCTAGCTAAGGCTACAAAGGCCTTTAAGATCTTTCCATCATAACACAATCAGCTTTCCTTTGGAAGCAGTTTTTCATAAATAGTACTTTTCATTCTAGTACTTTTTACTTTATGGACATTTTCTCTATAGATAAATGAAGAGCAATAAAGCCACAGTTATAGGTCAGTGCTGAGCCAGCCTCAGTCATTGACTAAGTAACTTAAGTATATATATGTATATTTTTTATTTTTTATTGTTATGTTAATCACCATACATTACATCATTAGTTTTTGATGTAGTGTTCCATGATTCATTGTTTGTGCATAACACCCAGTGCTCCATGCAGAACGTGCCCTCTTTAATACCCATTACCAGGCTAACCCATCTTCCCACCCCCCTCCCCTCTAGAACCCTCAGTTTGTTTTTCAGAGTCCATCGTCTCTCATGGCTCGTCTACCCCTCCGATTTCCCCCCCTTCATTCTTCCTCTCCTGCTACCTTCTTCTTCTCCTTCTTTTTTTTTTCTTAACATATATTGCATTATTTGTTTCAGAGGTACACATCTGAGATTCAACAGTCTTGCACAATTCACAGCGCTTACCAGAGCACATACCCTCCCCAGTGTCTATCACCCAGTCACCCCATCCCTCCCACCCCACCCCCCACTCCAACAACACTCAGTTTGATTCCTGCGATTAAGAATTCCTCATATCAGTGAGATCATATGATACATGTCTTTCTCTGTTTGACTTATTTCACTCAACATAATACCCTCCAGTTCCATCCACGTGGTTGCAAATGGCAAGATCTCATTCCTTTTGATGGCTGCATAATATTCCATTGTATATAGATATACCACATCTTCTTTATCCATTCATCTGTCGATGGACATCTTGGCTCTTTCCATAGTTTGGCTATTGTGGACATTGCTGCTATAAACATTGGGCTGTACGTACCCCTTTGGATCCCTACATTTGTATCTTTGGGGTAAATACCCAGTAGTGTAATTGCTGGATCGTATGGTAGCTCTATTTTCAACTTTTTGAGGAACCTCCATACTGTTTTCCAGAGTGGCTGCACCAGCATGCATTCCCACCAACAGTGTAGGACGGTTCCCCTTTCTCCACATCCCCGCCAACATCTGTCCTTTCCTGACTTGTTAATTTTAGCCATTCTGACTGGTGTGAGGTGGTATCTCATGGAGGTTTTGATTTGGATTTCCCTGATGGCAAGCGATGTTGAGCACTTTTTCATGTGTCTGTTGGCCATTTGGATGTCTTCTTTGGAAAAATGCCTGTTCATGTCTTCTGCCCATTTCTTGATTGGATTCTTTGTTCTTTGGGTGTTGAGTTTGATAAGTTCTTTATAGATTTTGGATACTAGCCCTTTATCTGATATGTCATTTGCAAATATCTTCTCCCATTCTGTCGGTTGTCTTTTGGTTTTGTTGACTGTTTCCTTTGCTTTGCAAAAGCTTTTTATCTGATGAAGTCCCAATAGTTCATTTTTGCCTTTGCTTCCCCTGCCTTTGGTGATGTTTCTAGGAAGAAGTTGCTGCGGCTGAGGTCAAAGAGGTTGCTGCCTGTGTTCTCCTTTAGGATTTTGATGGACTCCTGTCTCACATTGAGGTCTTTCAACCATTTGGAGTCTATTTTTGTGTGTGGTGTAAGGAAATGGTCCAGTTTCATTCTTCTGCATGTGGCTGTCCAATTTTCCCAACACCATTTGTTGAAGAGACTGTCTTTTTTCCATTGGACATTCTTTCCTGCTTTGTCAAAGATTAGTTGACCATAGAGTTGAGGGTCCGTTTCTGGGCTCTCTATTCTGTTCCATTGATCCCTAACTTAAGTATAACAGCCTCAGGTAGGACCTGTGGTTAAGATTTTTGCCTGAGGGAAATCACATAACTTTGTGTTCTAAATCCCTGGGGTCACTTAAAGTCATTGAAACTGTTAAATTCTTGAATGTGAAGAGTTTACTGCGTATCAGTTTGTCTTTTTATCTTCTGAGATTGAATTTACAAATAGGTAGCGTTAAGTTCTTACTCTTGTTTAGGTAACTAGATGGATATGAGGGAAAGGGAGGGTCTCTTGGTTCCCAGAATTCTGGTTGGGAAATGAAAATCTCAATTTTGAATACATTGAGTTTGGGATAACCCCCAGTACCCAGGAGGTGATGTCCTGTCCATAGGTAGATTTGAAGTTCATAAGAAGTGTCCAGACTAGAGATCAATAATAGGTAATTAATACAGCCAGGAATGGAACTACGAGGGCACAAAAGCCCCAGGGAGAATTTGATATTTAAATGAACTTTTGTAGTAATATTGCAAATCTTCACATTTCTATTTGTTGAAACTTGATTTAGGTTAAACATGGGCACTATCCCCTACCTTGGTGA